ACGGTTGTCTTCAGAATCAGTGAAAGGTGCTACTGCCATTTTAATCCCTCTCTAATTAAGAGGAAAATAGGTTATTCTCTTTTCTTACTCCTAGCTCATGTCATAATTTTTCTAGATAGCAGTATAAATTGGTAGGGAGGCATGGTCTTTACTGACCCATGATATTTGGCATAGTGATGCGTTCAAGATCGAGTCAAGGGACAGTCGCTTCACCCCTGATTTCCGGCCCTCTAAAGTGAAGTGTACACAGACCACTGGTGTTTGCAGGAAGTGACTGAGTGGTCGTCAGAAAGAAGCACTTCACTAGGGGATGCATATCTTTGTCCCGAATCCTGTACTATCTTTTGCAGCCCTGAAGGATCTGCACACAAGCTCAGCAAGGAGTGTCCTAGTTCTTTGCTTTCAGAATTTGACCCTCTAAGAACCAGGGATTTGTGGGTTACAAATTCTTCTCATGGGCAATTTCATCATGTGAGTGTTTAATGTGAGATTTGAGACTAGATTGTTAGGGGAACTCCTAGAATGGTGGGTTTTGTTGTCGTTTTGTTTTTTTGTTTTGTTTTATGGTATCACTTACCTCCATCAAGAAAAGAAAAGAATCAATTGCAAGCCCTTAAGAATAAATGGCTAAATGTCTTAGATAACACTGAACAATAAAATGATCTAGTTTTCAGACTAACTTTTTCACAAAATGTTTCCATAATAAGTTTCTTTAAGAGCCCCAAACAACAGTGCTTTTAGTAAAGTTAGGATTCCCTGTCCTAAACAATGAGTTAAAGACTTAAGTGCAGGACTTGTGGCTGCTAAACATTCTTGGATTTGTGTTATTTATGCCAGTAAGACTCACAGTATGGGGAGGAAGTGGGAAACGAGGGGAGAAAAATGATGGGAATATAGACATATATACATACATACATACATACATACATACATACATACATACATACACACACATATACATATACATATATTCTATATTAAAATCTATATACACGCGAGTTTCTTATGTATCTCATACTGTGTAGCTTAGGATGGCCCAAACTCCTGATGGTCTTGCCTCCATCTCCTATGAGGTATGACTACAGGCACGCACCATCATACCTGGGCTTCGTGTGTGCTCAGCAAGCACTGTTCACTGAACTACAGCCCCAGTCTGACATCTATCTCTTTTAAAAAAAGGAGTAGAAACTGGTATTTTGCATTTAAATGTTGATTATATAAGAACATAAGGATATGAATATAGGCAATGCTACAAATGCCTTTTTGAGGAGTTACTATTTGTTCAAAATAGTCAAGATTTTATCCTCAAACCAAATAACTTTTTTCCCAAAATGTTATTTTCCGGAAGCTCTGCACATAGTTTTTAAGCCATCCAAGCTTGTTCCCTGTTTGAAAGCAGAACGTAACCATCTTTCCTTTAGGTACAGTAACCCAGAATGCTCTTAATTCTTTGAAAGAAAACGAAATTGTTTTTCCTCATGCATATAAAGTTAATACTGTAAAGATAGCAGGTTCTGTTATAAAGGACTGTTAGCAGACAACATGTGCTTCAGCTACCACCAAGCCCCTCCCCCTCAGCACAGTTTCTTTCCTACCAGAGGCAAAGTTTTAAGCATCATACAAACATGCTCTTATTTGTCTCACATATAAATATAAAAAGAACTCTCTCCTGGCCTCTTCTGTTCTCCAGTTTTCTGCCCCCTTTTACTGTAAAATGCACAAGAGAAAACCACTTCAGTTCCTTTCCTGCAATTTTTTTTTTTAAATTAAACTTACTAGGCCCAGGCCTTTGCCTACTCACTCCCAAAAGCTTCTTGAGGGGTATCACCGAAGCTGAGGTAGTGGCTCACATTTGTTATTCCAGCAGTTGGAATGTGGAGGCAGGAGAATCATAATTTTGAGGAAGGTTGGGCTATATAGCAAGATAGACCCTGTAACAAACAACAAAACCTCCCAATAATAATGTCCTCATTGTTAAACATACAGTCCATCCTCAACCTTACTCTATCCAGGAGCAAGGTCACTTCCTCCTTTACTAGACCGTTAGGGCTGTACATACCCCTGTTTTCAACTTTCTTCATGGTAGTTCCATCGTAGTTTTATTTAGACTGCAGACTTTAAAGTATTTTTTTCCTGGGCCAGAGATGTAGTTCAGTGACAGACAACTTGTCTAGTATGCACAAGGCTATGGGTTTTATCCCCAGCAATACACACACACACACACATACGGTTTACATGAAAATGGCCACCAGTTTTATGTCTTTAGAACTTTCTCCAACTCCAGACCAATATCCCCAGCTGTTTCCTCTTGACTTAAGATGTCAGATTTACTTTTTGAATGTTCAGTCGTGTATCTAAACCTTCTTTCACAGTATCTACCCCACTTCAGTTAATGGTAATCATTATTCTTGCTGTGGCCCAAAACCTTGAAGTTGGCTTTGTCAATTTGGTATTTTTCATACAATATTCAGTCGGTTGGTAAGCTGGCTGTCTTTTAATACATTCCTTACTCTGACCTTCCCCTTCCACTTACATTGCTCTTGTCCAAACCATTTTGTTGGGCTGGCCTTCCTATTTCTGCTCTTTATTTAATTAAACTGGATCCTATCATTCTTCAGATCAAAACTTGTAAGTCAGTGGTTTTCAGCCTTCCTAATGCTGCAACTCTTTAATACAATTCCTCATGTTCTGGTGACCCCCAACCATGTTATTTTTGTTGCTACTTTATAACTGTAATTTTGATACTGTTATGAACCGTAAATATCTGTGTTTTCCAATGGTCTTAGGTGACCCCTGTGAAAGGGTCATCTGATCCCTCAAAAGGGTTCCCACAGTTAAGAAGCACTGATCTAAGGGTTCTTGAATTGTTATAATGGCTTTCAAAGCTTTACGTGATCTTCAGGTTAAACTCCCAGGGGCACCTCCTTCCAATCTTTCCATAGTCATTTCTTGCCCGCATGAGGAACCTGTGTATTCTCACAGATACCAAGTGTGCCCCTCCTCCAGACTATCGAACTGGCTCTTCTCATAGTGACTTGATGTCTCATTCTTTCACCCCTTTGAGGTTTTCATGCATCTCTATAATGCTAACTGATCATCACATTTAAATTTCACACTTCTAGTCACCAATCCTTTTTTCTCGTCTTAGCAGTTAAAATTTTAATGTATAATATTCTACTTATAAAATATTGTCTACGTCTTCTCACTAGCTCATAAATCCCATGAAATGGATTTTTCATCATTACTATGTTTCTAATATCAGTTGTATAAAAAAAACCACCAATATTTGTTTATTGCTCAATAGTCAAATGGGCTCTTATCAAATGCTTATAATTTAAGGTCACTCAAAACCAGTCTGAGTAGTGATAAACAGCACAGGAAGCCACACTGAATCAACTCATAGGACGTCAGGACAGAAGCTGACATCTTTAGAATTGTCTAAAGCAGGCAAACTGCAAACGCGTTTTTTTTTGTTTGTATTTGCCATATGATAAGTGCTTTGTGAAAGGCATTGTGTTGTGCACATTACCCTTCAGCCTTACTCAGGTCCTTGTGATGAGTCGCCTGTTCACACAGGAAGAAGTGGAAGCAGAACAAACAGGTGTGCTCCACAGCACCTGCTTTCTCCATCACAGTCAGCCTTCTGTGTCTTGATGAGTTAGTTACTAAGGTAGTGAAACCAGCTACAAAACAGTTGGAAGTTTTTCTGGCCTCCAATAACTATCAGAGGTCCCAAAAGGTAGCATGGCCATAAACTGCTTTTCTGTGCTTATATTCTAAAAGGTGCAAAAAGGCAGGCTCACCTGAAGTTTTGTTCTTGACACTCAAATGCCCTCCTCTTTGATGACCTAGTTTTTACTTTTTATTATAAAGTAAAATGACGAATCTCTTGGTTAAATTTCAGAATTAATATTTGAGGAGCAAAATCAGAATCTCTGACCAATATCAGTGCTAGTATTATTGACTTCCAAGTAGTAAGCTGATTACCTAGAATACATTCAATAATGCATGCTGGGAGTCACCATTGTAGGCATCCCTGAAGGCATCCTCTAGATACCAGGAGCCCTGAGTCCTAGTCTCTGCCAGGCATTAACACATCACTTTGCCTGCTACTCACTTTCCTTGCTGCTCTGTTTGCTTTTCTCTTTACAGTGCACAGATGAAACAGGGCCCCACTGTTAGCAGGCACTGTACCACTGAGTGGAATCCCATCCCAGTTACTTTTTCATTTTGAGACAGGTGCTAGGATGGCCTTGAACTCACTGTTGCTCAGGTGTGCCTTGAACTTTTAATATTTTGACTCAGTCTCCTGAGTAGCTAGGATCGCAGACCTGTACCACCACTAGGGTTGGCTTGCCCTTATTTTGAAATAAATGGACTGAATCTAATAATTGTTTATTATTTTTATTTTGTAGTATACATTGACTGTATATTTGCCAAGTTCTTAAGTTACAACCTTAAGCTCTTTCATGACAAACTGAAAAGGACTTTTTTTGTTTGTTTTGTTTTGTTTTTCAAGAAAGGGTTTCTCTGTGTAGCCTTGGCAGTTCTCAACTTGCATTGTAGACCAGGCTGGCCTCACACTCACAGCGATCCACCTGCCTCTACCTCCCTGAGTGCTGGGGTTAAAGGCATGAACCACCACACCTGGCTTCTGAAAGGACTTGTAAAGTGCATCTTCTTGACACCAGCTAGTTGCAGCAAAAGCTGCCTTACAGGGACCTGCAATACCCAAGCACGTTCTTTTAGAAATGTAACTGCCCTCTGAAAGTTCTTTCTGCATATCGACAAAGGCCACTTGGCATCCAAAGCCTCCCTGTTACAAATACTAGTATCTGACACTAAATTTATCTTTTTAAATTGGTTACAGGGAATAGTGTCCCCAAAGGAAGACGTGATAAAATATAAAGTATTTCTATATGAAGGTGTAAGCTAAATTAGAATCACTAACAGCTTCAAAATACTGCCTTCTAAAATAAATGCATGCAAAAATAATACACTTGTGGGCTATGTAAGGCATTATTTTTATTACTTTTCAATTTATCTCAGTAATGCCAGGAAAACAACAGCCATTATTTTCACTTTTAATGCAAACCGAATACGGCTACACATAGAGGACAAAGAGTACCTATAAATATGGTCAGGTACAAAGGCCGTTAGAGATGTAGAGACCACACTTTGTTCTTACATCAGAGTAAGACAGAGCATTTTTTTTTTTGACAATTACTTTAGCAAATAACCGTGCTACTAAACAAAGGCAAATACACATATATATATACAGACACATCTCAACTAAAAGTATACATGTCACTTTGACAAACAAATTTTCTGGTGTTTTCACCAGATATTTGCAATCCCAACCCCCCTACCCTAGTCCCACTCCCAAATGCTGACTTGATCTGAAGAAAAAAAGTTAGAGATGTTAATTAAAGGCACATCTGGCAGCTACTGAAAGTGGCATGCATCCAGCATGGGTGCATACTAGGCCACACCACATGTAACGTGCATCTTTTGTGTATCCTGGTTCTTTGGGTGGTAGTCCAGTGTGACCCACCTTTAGCTAACTTGCTTTATAATTTTTCAGCAACTGGCTACTTAATGCACTATTTTTATTAAAGGCAAAAGGGAAATTTGCTCACAGTTGACAGAAATGCACTTCATGGTGTCAAAAATGGAAAATAAGGCATGAAACTTAAAAAGAATTTACAAGTGCTTTGTTGTTTAGATTTATCATGTAGAGCTGTTTTTTCAGAATATTTCACTGCCCTATGTATAAAAGAATATGAAATTATTTTAAAAGTTAGTACTGTTCTAAATGAAAGAAAACATTCAATAAAGCCATCACTTTCCTTCGCATTTTACTGCATAATTCTCTTTTAGTCAAATTGACAGTAACCTTGTGTTGTGTATTTACTGGTGAAGATTAATGTGCAATACACAGAACCTGCACCTGCACAACAGCCAAACAACAGAGATGGAAAGCATAAAAACCCATCCGGCAGCAGCAAACCAGGGATAAATGGTTGCCTTGATTTTTAATCTGAAGAGGGGTAGTAAGGGTTTTCTTCTGTGTGTACTCTAGCTGGGACAACATCCCCATCTATTTTTCAGAGCCACTAAATATCCCTAATTTAGGCCATTATATTAAGATAATGAAATAACATGAGCAAAATTTAATTGCAACATCATTATGATAAATACCACTTTGGGTTTGCATTAAGGAAGAAATTGGAATCATAGCATAGCCTCCAATTTAAATAGTACTTTAGTAGAATGTTGGCTCAATTCAGATGTTGGCTCTTGGCTCAATTCAGATCCATTCAAACACTCAGTCGGAGAATAGTAATCTACTAAACCCACAATTTTATGCCCAACAACCTTTATTTAAGCAAAAGTTTTTAATTAGGAAGACTTTCAATATTTGTCATTTTGTAGTCTTCAAACACATTTGAAGGCATAACAATTTAGAAACATGTATTTGTCTGTCCCTGTTTTTCAGAGTGCTTAGCTGTAAAAAGCATTTCTATTATATTGTTTATGAACCCAAGAGGAACTTTCATTTTGTGATCTAAATGTAAAAAAACACTTGTTGACACCGATTTCTGGAAGAAATGTCCCATATTTGGGGATACAGTTAAGCAAGGTTTGCCGCACTGGCCGCCTTGTAATGGCCTGGATTCAGATGTAGTTTCGTAATGGGGCATTTGTTTTCTTGCCAACTCTTGTCCCCGATACATTTAGTATGGCTAAGGATAAATTGGCCAGCCAGATAACAGTTAACAGGACAGCTTGCTCACCTTCTCCTCAGGACATCCAACTAGAATTTTCAAAATCAGTTCCTATATAGAAAATATTTTTGCCAATATGTCATATTTGAGAATAAAAATATCCTCTGTCCATGACGCATATAAAATGGCTTCCTGGTGTAGTCTACTAGAACAGTGGGGCAGAGAATGGTTCCTTTTGGGAGAAATACAATTAACTCCAAATCCGAGCTTTCCCTTCATTGTTGGCGCAGGCAGAATGAAAGACATTGAAGGCAACACTTTCCAGAAATACTGAATGGGTTCTAATGTTGCTTTTCTTAGGGTCTCCTTTGAAGTACGGATGGAATGATCAAAACATGATCAGTAAACCATAGGAAATTCTAGGGACAGCTAGGCTGGTCTAAACCATGATGGGAGATTGTGGGATGTGCATTTACAATCATACGGAGCAGCATTAGTAAGTAGGCTTAGCTATTTTTATTGAATGAATGCTCACTTGTTCAATAAATGGTCTTACGGGCACTTTACATCCAAGAAGGCATTTGAAGTTAACTTTTGAGGACTCTTAAAAAAAGGAGACATCTTACAAAGAGAAAAACGGCTACAGGAATGGTACAGACACTGAGTGAAAAAAATTAAACTCTAACAAATAAACAAGGACATGATAGGACAGACTACCTAGTGGTGGATACAATTACTGTCCTTTCTGATCTTAGAAGACTATATCCTGTACTACTGAGATGTACATGTAATGCTGTAGTAAATGCCCCACGAAGTTATGAATGTCCTGAGTTCCCACCATGATGCAGCACAGTTAACAGAATTACTGAAATGCTGCTTCATTATTCCGAGGACACATGCACATTCTGATGAACTGATGACTGTCTAAGAATGGAGTACTACACAGTTCACAGACAGAATGGAGAATAAGAAAACATTTTCTCTTCAAGTTGCATGCATTTCAGTCACAGTAGTTGTTACTCAGAAGAGCAGTACAAGGCTTCATGAATAATCACGCTGATATTAACGCTGCAGGTAGGTTGTGAGGAGTAGCTCTGATGGAAGTAAAGACCTTAAGCAAAGTAGAATGTTCAGTATAAACCTTAACAAACATGAATGGTTGCTCAAGAAATTTAAAAACAAAAACAAAATCCCTGCAAGGTTCTGCTTTAAAAGCTGCCTATCCCATCTAAAGGCAGGGTTTCCCGACATGCCAGACTCCAGCTTCAGACTCTTCTGTGAGAACCAGACACCCAGGCACACCATCACATGTGCTTCTATGCTTAGTGTATGTTGTCCAACCGAAAGAAAGAAGAACCAAACATTTTCTCCATATAATAATTTAATAGATGCCAGCCAAACAAAGTAGTTTATCTTTATTCAATTAAATAAAAACAGAGCTGTCAGGTATATTCTGTAACATTCACTATATACACATGATTTAGCAATGCAAGGTAATTCCAGGTATGCTAACTACTCAACTATTAGTAAAACGTGAATGGTGTTGGTGAGGCCCAGAGTGCTCCTTTTCACATTGGGTGTCTGCATTTCTGTAGTATGTTAGAGGGACAGCCACGAGACAGGACATATATTACCAGTAAACTTCTGTGGGACAAAGGGGGTGGGGGATGACAGTCTAGCATAGATTAACAGTCTCCTAAGTGTAAATAGTATACTTGACAGTTGCATTTTAAAAAAGATCTTCCATCACGTTAATGACATGAGATTTCTTGAAGGCAACACCACCACATTTTGTTTGTGAGTGGGGTAGATAGGGAATGTTCTTAAAATTGGTATAATTATTCTTAAAACAATAACAAAAAGTACCTCTTTGGTGAAGCCTCGGTACCCATTCAATTCACTGTAATAACCTGTAAACAGGACTGTAGTACAGTGCTGGCCTTGATTTCAACAAGGCCAGGCACCACAGCCTTTCTCACAGTCCTCATCATGATTTTTATGAAAGTATTCTAACGTAGAAGAGTAAAGCAACGAAAAACAAAGAGGAGAATAAGATCCCTGTTTAAGAGTTTTTTTTAAAAGTGCATAATATTTTGAATTACAAAAACTGTCAACACATGGGCCTGTTGGACATTAGACTGTTTTCCATCCCTTTAATGATAAAGATCACTTCACAAAATGAGGACCCTTTCCTATTGGCCAGAAAAGTCCCTTCACGTGAGTTCCAGGTGCAGTCAGTTGTTCAATTCCTCTAGATCAGTCTCCACAGTCTACGCTGGAATACCATCTTATTTTTACGTGTAGGTTAAAATTCATTGTCTTATAATACATCTTGAAGTAGAGTCATTAGTGTTTGGAGTTCTCGATTTAACTCCTCAGTGCTGGCATGTTCAGTGCATCCATTGCCAGCAATGGATTTGGGGCTAGGCAACTGTATATCCAGTTTAGAGGAACTCAGGAAGAATGAGCATTCTCCAACAGTGGCGGTCCATCTCTGTGCATGGATGGGTGTGTGTGCTCCCTTTTGTAAGTTTTTGGAGGGAGTTTAGGGATAAGTTGAGAAGTGCTTTGTCGTGGAGGAACAGGAGGCCCAGCAATGGGATGGAGGTCCACTTCCTGTGTCAGTGGTGGTGATGGCAGATGCCTTCTTGTGCCATGAGGAGAAGGGGTTTGGGGAGGTGGTGGTGTGAAAGGGGAAGGGCTGTTTGGGAAGAAGGCATTGCCATGCTCACTCTTTTTGCCCAACGGGGGAGGCTGGAGATGCAATGGTGAGCTTGAGAAAACATCAGGTGTCCTCACAGGTTCTCGTGGTGGTAGCAAGGGAGGGCTTTCAGGAGGGTCTGATACAGAGGTCCGATCTGATATTGAATATCGTGGTGAATAAGCTTTTGATGTGGGTTGCCTAGGAGGAATAGCTGGGGGACTGTCCAAGTGCTTAGACATAATCTAACAAATGAAAAAGAAAAATGTGTTAATAGTTTCATTTGAAGAGTATCATAAATATATTAAGATTTTTAACTTGGAGTTTTCAGACATACTATTGGCAGAACAGTGGGTGTACAACACAGAGTTTTGCGGTATGGTTTAGCGAGATGTTTTTAAGAAAAGATAAACACCTTGTGTGGTAAATTTATTCTTAATTCTTGAACTACTAAACCCAAATACTTTGAAATGTTAGCCTATCCCAAAAAGAAATAGACATAAACAGCTGACTATAGCTAATGATTACAGTTTCTAGCTGACAGGTGCTCTGTCTTACCTTGGAAGGGGAGGACTCTGCTGGGGCTGACTCTGGCCGTCTTCGTGGGGGGACTGGAGGGGGCACAGGCATTTCGTCAGTGCCCTTGGCTAAACTTATAGATGAGACTGAAGCAGATCCTGTAGGGTGGTAATTAAACCATCATTATGGAACTTTTATTTCACTTAATTACTCTTGAAAACGACTTGGATGGAAACTTCTGTACTAACTAAAATAAATGTGTTGAAGTATCAAAAGCAGTAATAAACCAAACTGCTATAAAAGCATGCAGAAATTTCCTAGCAAAAAAGAGAAAGCTACCTGAAATATTTATTTCTTCTTGAACAAAATAACACTACCATTGTTAATCTATAATTGGAATTTTTAATTGTCTAATTTTGAGATTTCTGTTGGAAACGTAATTTGAAAATTTTTGGGGAAAAGTTTTTTTTTTTTTTTTTGGTCCAACTGTGGTAGGTTCATTTTCTTCTCTAGTTTTACCGCTCTCAAGGTATTGTGCCCAGACTAGATAGTTTGTAGGAACAATCTCTGATCTTGAGAGCTCTATTGTAACATCTCTTATGTGGTGCACAGGAGAGAATCTGGGGCCTCCTGAGGCCTATTCACATTTTGCTTGGGTCCAGACTTCCCTTAGCATGTAAACAAAATTAGAATCATCACATCTAATCCAAAAATTTTAACTATGATGAAACTATTCAGAATGCCAGGGGACAGGGAGTGCTATAATAGTGAAAACAGGAACTTTACTAAATCTAGTGATCCTGACTTAAGACCAAGTTGATGAAATGGCACAAAAAGAGTTAAATAAAACTAGAACCCATCTTACAGACATTTAGTGACAAAGGCATAATGCAGGCACCTGAATATTTATGCTTTGAAAAACAACACTTATGCTAATGTTAGTTTATAAACACTATCAAAATATTCAAACTGTACTTGGCAGGCTCTTTTTTTAATTTATTTTTTTATTTATAAGCATTCTGCCACCCCCCACATTAAATGTTATAACAATATAGAAGGTAAGGAGTAGTTTGTGCACTTATATTCAAATGGTCAACATTCTGTGTGTGTGTGTGGTGAATACTTGCTGGGGTGTATATATGTACAGGCCAGAGATTAATGTTGGGTGTCTTCCTCTATTGCTCTCCACTGTATTCTTTGAGACAGGGTCTTTCCCTGAACCCAGAACTCCGACTTTTGGGTAGCCTGGCTGGCCATTGAGCCTCTTGGATTGGTCTGTCTCTGATCCTCATCACAACTCTCCAGTGTTGGAATTACAGGCATGTGACACCATGCCAGGTTTTTATGTGGAAGTAGGAGATCGAAAGTCAGATCCCCATGCTTTCATAGCAGACCCTTTACCCAGTGAGTCATCCCCCTAGACCATGATCAACATTTTGGTCACCTACTTTTTAAGAAAATGTATACAATTAATTTAGCTTGTAATTGGTATTTATCAATGTATGTATTTTGAAATCATTTGTACAAAGAGTAAAGCCATTGACTTGTTAAACAACTAAAAATAGAATTTATAGTGAATTATTAGTTCACTTTAAAGCTGAAGGCAGTTAGCTACAACAGCACCTGACTTTATCTAAATACGCAGAACTTGCGGCTGGTTACATGTATAAGGTGGCCCTGACCTGCCTGTGGACTCTGGCACTGAGACGGCGCCCAGCTGCCAGCTTCTCCACATGCCCATGCAAGCTCGTGCTTCTTTTGAAAGCTGAGAGGGATACATTTACAACTGGATAGTTGGAAAATGAGAAATGGTTAAATGTGGAAGCCACTCATTTAATAAGTTTTTAGGAGGAAAAGGTTTTGTAAAAAGCAGGAAAAGTATATAAATTTAGGCCAATTTAAGCAGAGAAGGCTCACGCTTCTAAGATGGGGCAGGCAAGGAAATTCAGCAGGGAAGGTGGCCTCAGCCTGGTTTTAAAAGCCAAAGCAGGAGTTAAGTTTTAAATCAGATATACTGACTTGGGCCATGGGGCAGCGTAACCTGGGCAAAGACAGTATCGCCGCCTGTGGAAAGGAAACAGGAAAAAGTTGTTTTCTCCCACTGATATTCTCAATTCACCCATAAAAAATGATGTTCTCACCATGCTAATTTTAAAGAATGTCATAATCACATTTAGAAAAAGCTCAGTAATACTTTTGAGAAGAAATGAAAAGGCATTAATATCATACTGGGATATTTAAAGTTTTCCTTCCTTAATGTCATAATATACATGAAAAACATTCATTAGAAAACAATATGATGCAATATGATTGGAAAACATTTTATATGTGTTTGTGTGTGAGTGTGTACATGTGCCATAGTATGTGTGATCAAGTCAGAGAACAGACACAACTTGGAGAAATCAGTTTTCTTCCACCACGAGGATTCCAGAGTTTGAATTTAGGTTGTCAGGCTTGGTGGCAAGCATCTTAACCTGAGCCACCTTTCCTGCCCCTGGAAAGCATTGTAAACTGTGAAAACCCAAGTCAGGTAAAGAATTAGCTGGACTCAAATCATTTATGGAAGATTAAAGGGAGAATCACACAACTATTACCAGATACCTTTGAAAATGTTTTAAGAACATTTCATCATTATAAAATGTTAAGAGTTTTAAATATCTAAAACCAGTTTCCATATTCATAAATATTAGTATACATTTGGATCTTACATTTTATTTAGGAAATTACTTGATAAATTTGGAATGCCTAATTTAAAAAATACTCCTTTCAGAAAAAGTAAGTCTTTAATTTCAAGTCTTAAATTCTTTCTTAAAAAAAAAAGCCCCCACCAACCCTTTAATACAGTTCCTCATGCTGTAGTAACTACAAAATGATTTCATTGCTACTTTAAAACTGTGATTTTTCTACTATTATGAATCATAATATAAATGTTTTTGGAGCGAGGTTTACCAAAGGGCTTGCGTGGACACACAAGTTGAAAACTACTACCTAAAATAGAGAAAACTGAAAGGGAGGATGCAATGCCTGGGCTGGTTCTAAATTACCACTGCCAGTTTTTCATCACCAACACATGAAACAGAAACTAGCCAAGTGGCTAAGATAGTTCTTACAGTAGGACACTGAGCTGATGATTTAAAAAATTCAGATTTTCCATTTACTTGTTTTTATACAATATGCAATAACTCAATGAATTTGGGACATTTTCCAGCTTACTTGGTCAAGAGAGAGTAGCCACGTTCCAGGTCTGTTAGCCTGGTGCTAACTCTTGTTAACTCAACTACTTTCATAACTCAGAGTCCTATCACAAGATTTCCTTTTAATATGTAAATAAATAGCAATTTAGCAAGTAAGCCGATGAAAACTCAGTTTGTACTGTAAATTACATGGGCTGGTGTTCTGGTTTCTGTGCAGTCCCTCTGAGGAACTAAAGAAGAGATCAGGGACAGAGTGTGTTGCTTGAGCTAGCACTTTACCTACTTGCATTTCTCACTTTCATTATTTTTTTAGTATTTATGTTAATGGTGTGTGTGAGTCATGTGCATGTTGGAGCCTGTAGAGGCCAGAAGAGGGCATCAGGTCTCCTGAGCCTGGAGTTTCAGGGGTTGTGAGCTGCATTCTGGGTCCTGGGAACAAAATCCAGGTCCACTTCCAAGAGCAGCTCTTAAGCCACGAGCCAGGTCTCCCGCCCCTCAATTTTCTTAAAAAGAAAATAGAATAATTCCCTAGAGCTAAGCTACAAGACCATTACAACCAATAAATTCTAGTCAGCTTTAGCCTTTTGGAACACAAGTAATGGGGCTGGGGCTTTGTGTTGAGGGGATGTGCTCAGGTGACAGCAGGCCTTTTCCGACTGGGAACGGGGGAAGCCATTCAGACTAAAGACAGCACAGTGGGGAACAACCCCACAGCTACAGATCTGTTTGGCTATGGATGAAATTTAAGTAGTGGTTAGCTGAACATGAGAATAGTTTCATATTAATCTGAGTTATTTTATTTCAAAATGAGTTCTTTTCAGTTCTTATTAAGGAAAAGGGAGGAATAATAGTTTATTTATGATAATAAGTTGAGAAAACTCTAAAGTTTAGCTTCCTCACTCCTGGAACAGTTTTCCCCGTTTGTCTAGAAACTTTAGTTAATAGCATTCCACTGACCCAAGCCACTGAACAGAACACTGCATTCCAGAATGAGGACCTGCCCTTTGGTAGTCATTTAGAGTCTACAGAAAAGAAAATGTGGTTATCTGTTTTCCCATCTCTTCTACTTGTAATGACTTAAACTAATAAGAAAAGCAGAATTCACAGCTGATAAGTTTTCATGTGCCTTCAATAATTCATTTATTTGGGGATCCTTATAATATGCACTTAATAGGTACTACTCTAGGGGAGAAACATGCAAATAGCTAAGTGGGCCCAACAACAGTGAATTTTACTCATACATGCTGGAAAACTGTGGGTTTATGTGTATAATGTGACTTGATGATCCTCAGTCACCAAGTAGAGCCAAGTAAACTCTCAATACAAATCCACTGTATGCAGCACAAACACGACACACCACGGGGTGACTGCAACTGCATGCATGCTATAGGAATAACTCCACAGGATTCTGGGCCAAATCTCAAAAAAGATCTGCAAAGACTTACAGATTTTTAGTTGTTTTCTCTGAGATAGAAGAAGCCTAAAGTTCCACAAGGCACACAGAAAGTATTTTATCAAGAACCAGGAAGGTTCTGAGCAGACTTGGATCACAAACCAGGATTCCTAATGGAAAGGTTGGTGCTTTTCAGCTTTTGCCTCATCAGGGTTATGCAGCCCCTGATGTTGGTACTGTGTCAAATCCTTGGGTGGAGTTTAATCAGCTAAGAATGCCAATGGGAAGAACATGTAGAAACATTCATCAGAGGATTAAAGTTGATTTGATTCAAAGTTTGATCTAACAATAAACAGATGTAAAGGGTGCTGTGTCCTTAGGAGAGCTCTTCGTGAATACCTAAGAGTGAATGGTACTTTGTAGACAGTCAGTCTGATAACACTGTGACTACTGAGCACCCTTAGGCTTGTCTGAATTGAGATGTGCTAAATAGGAAATGCACACCGGATTTTAAAGAGTTAAACACAAATGTAAGATGTCTTGAAATAAGCTTTTTATGAGTTCATGCTGAAGTTCCTTGTTATATAATAGGTTAAATAAAATATTCTTTAAGTTATGTTTGCTTTTTCTAATGTGGCTACTAGAAATTTATAGCCAAACATATAGCTCTCATATTTTTCTTGGACAGTGATGACTCAGCAGCAACTGTGATTTGTATGGCCAAGCTCTTCATAATAGCAAGAACTATATATTATCAGGATACTACAGAGAGTCTGAGGAAGGGACTTTGAATTTTGAATTTTATATACTGTAAATTCAGATACCACTGCAGAATTTGGTGGGAAGGGAATGGTATACCTTATATTCAAATAAAATAATTTTGTGGGCTGGATAAATGGCTCAATGGTTAACACACTTGTTGCTCCTCTAGAGGCCTGGGGTTCAGTTCCCGGCACCCACATGGCAGCTCACAATCATCTACAACTCCCACTCCAGGGGATCTACTGCCCTCTTCTTGGCTCTACAGGCATCAGGCACACACAGAATGTACAGACATTCAGAAAAGCAAAACACAGATGCACATAAAATAAATTAAATTAAAATCAAACCATGAGGTTGACAATCTTTGAAGTTTTTTTTTTGTTTGTTTGTTTTAGGATGATCTTTGTTTCCTGTAGATAAAAGCGGTGCATTTGGATAAGTTTAAAGAGTGTTTATTTGGCACCTTTTAAGAAACTCCCAAGTGCTCGAGTTGGATTTAAAGAATTACAGGTCTTTTGAAATACTACGTTTGTGCATACTTTCACACATTTATGAACACAAGTATAGAGGTTATTTTCACCTCTCATGGGCAGTGCTCTGAAGCCCTTGAGTTTTAACACCTACTTGAGTGAAAAGGGCTTGCTGAATGGTCAGAATCAAACACGCTGCAAACATCTGTGGCACTGGAAGCACCGGATGCAGGAGGAGGTGTCAGTGGTGTCCTCGGAGAATTTGGTGCAGATGCTGTACTTTCTGTTTCACTTTCAGGGATCCTACTGTAACTAATTTTTCTTGGCTCCTGCTGCAGAGGTGTGGGATGTCTCATGGTTCCTGGTCTTGGGTTTGATGGACGAACACCAGGAGATTTTAGGGGATAGCTGTATTTTTTTGGCTATAGACATAAAAAACAAACACAAACCACAATATTTAAACATCATGGCTTAAAGGAAGGTTTTCCTCTATCCTTCTGATAACATTCAACTAATAGTTAAGACAATTATAAATTATCAATATGAAAATTTCATGACGGTTCAGATCAGAATATTCCAAGTTACAGCATTGTCACTTCATTCTGCTGAAGATTTGGCTACATAAAGTGTTAGAAAAATGAATGTGTTTAACTAAGTTTTAATATAAATACCAGAATGCTCGTTAATGTAGCATGTTGGGGGAATAGAAATTTTTCTGAAATACACTGTATAATTCTGTTTTTTAAAAAATACTATTTGAGGCAATTAAACCTTGTTGGAAAAGCCAGGATAGTCATCATGAGTTGTGAGACATTAGGACCATAAGGGCTACTCACAGATGGATTGAGCTGGCCACATTTCTTTCATTTGTGTGCATATGTTAATTTTAGGGCCCTTTCCAAGGAGAATGACAATTTGACAGTGCCTGAGTGCCTCACTGGAGTCAACATACTTTTTTCCAATTAACTATTTTAGGTTCATGTTTAAAGGCTGTCTTAGAGTTTGAAAAAATATGGCTGTGAATTACAGACACTACACAGTTTATTGTGACCACTTAGAAACTACTTACATTTACTTTTTGACTCTTTTGATGAGTTAGTGAGTCCATGCCCTTGAAATAAAATCTTAACTTTTGTTAAAACTAAAAATAACAAACATAAATTTACTAACTTTTATCATATCAGAATTTTTTAAATATTAATGTTCATTTATTTAAACCAAGTGGGATAGTCCTGATTATATTTATTAACATATTCCTATCAGTGAGAGGTGATACTGAGTATCGAGTTGGCCAAGCACTAGCAAATTACTACAAAAAGAAAAGAACTATTAAAAGTATTTTTAATGCAAACATTGTATTACTCTGCTAATGACGCATGTCTAAAATTTCTCATAAATCATTACTTAAAAAAAAAAAATTCCCAAGTACACTGGGGTGGTGGAACACGCCTTAATCCCAGCACTAAGGAAGCAGAAGCAGGTGGATCTCTGAGTTTGAGGCCATCCTGGTCTAAAGAAGTAGTTCCAGGATGATAAGGGCTACAAAAGAAAAATGTCTTGAAAAACCAAACCAAACCAAACCAAACCAAACCAACCAACCAGAACCCAAGTAAATATACTTATCATAATACAAACTTCTTAAAGTCTATGATCTTAAACTTTAACTTTTGTTAAAACTAAAAATAACAAACATAAATTTGCTCACTTTTATCATTATGTCAGAATTTATTAAAATTAATATTAATGTTCATTTATCTGAAACCAAGTGGGATATCTCTGATTATATTTAATTACTTTTAACCATCACATTTACATCTCATCCCTAAATGCTTTTACAAAAAACTAATCTACATGACACATGGCATGGATAACCTACAAGGTATGGAGGTGTAAATATGAAAACCTGTGAATATATGAATGCTTACAAATCTTGGAAGAGGCTTAGGGTGCCGTGGTTCTATTTCTAGGGATTTGTTGAAAAGATAGTCTGTGAATTCTTTCTCCATGCTATTTCCCATTGGATTCAAGTTTTCAAAGAACCTCTAAAATAAATGCAAAAAAAATTATTAGTATTAAATATTTTTAATCAAATTCCAAATTTATGAAAATAATTTAGGATACACTCAATATAAGAAAATTTGAATTACTGATTTTAAGTTTTATTTTTATTTTTCTTCTCTACAAAATAACAGCCTTTATGAGGCATTGTATAAAGCTGATCAGAAACACGTATCATGAATTAGTTTACCTTGATATCTGATTCTACTCGTAAACAGTAAGGCTGGTTTTGGTACTGCTGGATCTCTCCTGTTATCTCAGCCACTTTCCGCCTCTTGCTGAAGTTGATAAGCTCTTTCCCATGTCTTTTTAGGACTTCAGGGTTGCCTTCTTCTGTTTTCAAGATATTAGTGAGATAAATTCCTAGAAGAGACCATGAAATTACTTCACTAGTACAGAAGGAAAAAGAAAGGTTTTTGTTGTTGTTGTTCTTAACTGTAGGCATAATGTAGTCATAATAACCAAAGAACCAAAGCCCAGATTTCCATTCTATGAAAAACAACAAGCTCAGCAAATATAAGAGACATGTTTCTGTATTAAATCCTTCTGTAAAATAGTTGAATTTTATAAACATTCAAGGAAAAGGAGATCAAGTTTCAGAAAGATTATTTGTAAAGAAAGAATAACCAGTCTTTCATACTCCCCACTGCTACATGGCTTGTTGAAGAAACTTAACAATGGTGTCATGGATGATGCATATTATTGCCAAAAATGGGTGGGGGTAGAACCTCAGAGGTTTTTTTCTGCCTTTTCAGTTCTCAACAATTTGGAGATGATCATGTTTGAACAGGCTGATTTGTGGAAACACAGGAAGGGCTGCAAGCCTTTCAAGCACAGGGTGACATACAGCTTTTGCATATTCTAGATTTAGTGCATCTGGTGATACAGGATGGCCTCAAATTTGTTATGTGGCTGGGGGTGACCCTAAACTTAAGATCCTTCTGGCTTCAACTCCTGAGCACTGATATTATAAGCATACACTACCAAGCCTGGCTTATGCTAGGCTGGCACTCTTCCAACTGAGCTATACCCCAGTCCACTTCTGCTCTTTATGGTTCCAAGAGCATTTTAGTTCCTTCTTTTTCCTGCACAAAGCTTCTAGAGCCAGCTATGCCACTTTCTACCTACGCTATCTCGTATAAACTGCTGAGCTTCTCTGTGCTTCAGTTATTCATCTCTGAAATAAGAGAGTAGAAGGTAGATGTATGGGGTAAACAAATGGGTAAGTTTACATATTGAGATAGTGCCTGACAAAAAAGAAAGTGTCCATTAGCAAAGGTTATCAGCAGCTGCTAATGCTGATATCTGACTATTACTTCTCTCTTGCCTTCTTCCTCCCAAATTACACATTGCTCCTGTTCCCTCCCAGGGAAGGGGAACAAAAGAGGGGTGTGGATACCTGAGTTCATTACTGAATACAAATGCACTGCCTTTCTGCTGTGTGTTAATTATTACATTAGGTACAGCTAAAAAAAAAAAAAATGTGTGTGGTGTGGAGCAGCTACTCTCCGAGCTTTGAAGATGGGCACTATAGAGTTTTGCAGGTACTATATTTGGAGATGTTATGCTAGTAATAAATGTTTAAGATGCTATAAAAGCACAAAGGAAGTACCTTACACTGTCTTGAATTGTCAAGATCACAGAAAGGATCATTATATTAAATCTCAAAAAGTTAGTTAAGAGTTTAATGAGTAGAATAAGAGAGAAGGCAGCGGTGTGACACTCACGTGATGAAGCATGGGAGACATTCTCAGAGCTGGCAGGCTGTTAGACACAGTCAAGGTCAGTAGTCCTAAATGCTTAGCAGCAGAGAAGTACTTCTAAATAATATCATTTTTTTTCTCTTTAAATGTGTGTGTGTGCATGCACATGTGCACCATGGCACAACTGTGTGGAGTGGTTCTCTTCTATGTGAGTTCTGGGGATTGAACTCAGGTTCTCAGGACTGGCAGCAGGAACCACTGCCAACTCACAAGCCCTAAACACAATAATTATGAAGTCAGCAATAGTAAGGTAAGAATGACACCAGTGCCTGTTTGGGTTGGGCATATGACTGTGTGTTTCCCAGCACCAAGGCCTCACTTCAAGGTATGCTCATTAAAACAGTATGTGTTTAGTAAGCACAGGGCTACTAACACATAAGGTGCCTGTGCTTCCTAACAGACATGTCCTTTACAAGTGTGCGTGTTCAATGGCAGCCAAAATCAACTTTCTAAATAGTCACAAATTGAAATGTTGTGGATAGCAGCATCTGGTATTCAGATTGTGAAGCTAACTTTCATGCTAGGCATGGTGGTGCAGGCCAGCTTAGAGCACACAATGAGTGCCTTGTCTACAGAGAAGAAGAAAAAGGTTGACTTTGAACTAGGAGATAACAGAGTAGAAACATCTTCACATCACAGGACTGCTGTGCCTGAACACCAAAGAGCGATTTGCAGGCCACTGTGCTTTCTGTGTGCCTGAAAAGGATGGAGGGCCTACAAGAACTTACTGAGACTGGAGAGGTGGCCCAGCGGCTAACGAGGTCTTGCCTTTCTATTACCGGACTCAAGTCCGCTTCCCAATACCTATATCAGATGACTACACTGTCAGAAAATCCAACACCCTCTCTTGGCCTCCTGGAGTACCTCCCCTCCAACACATGGTATACACGTGTACACACACACACACACACACACACACTTAACTGGTTTAGACAAGGGCAGGGTGTAGCAGGACAGTTTTGAACTCTTTGAGTGGTCCAGTTACCATGTGTGAAAATAGAAAACAATTGGATAAAGCTGTAAAAACAAAAATATCACTTTGGGAAATGTCAGGATAAAATTTGGAAAAGTATTTTATACCTGATTAATGACGACCCAGAAAGAATAAAGTCATGGCAGTACTTTCCAAACTTTGTTGATGAGACACTGCGTCCATATAAATATTTAAGCATATGTGATTTTTGAATTGCAAAGAATATTTGTATATGTACACATCTAATAGGAATCTCATTATTATATGTAGCGAGCTTAATTCTTTTTATTTTATTTTATGTGTTTGTGGCTGCATGTATGTCTGTACACCACATGTATGGCCACATGTGGGCCAGGAAGAGGGAGTTATAGTCAGTTGGAACTACCATGTGGGTACTAGGCATTGAACCTGGACCTCTGGAAGAACTGCTGAACCATCTCTCTAGCCTTGCCAAAGTTTGATTCTTGAAAGAAAGGAAGGAAGGAAAAGAAAAGCAGTAATATGGTTCTTTCATTCACTCACAAACCATTTGTTGAATGCTTCCATGTGTCAGGCTCATGGCTAGGTGCTAAGAATAGACAAGAGTTTTGATGCTTTAAAAGACAAAATATAAAATAAAAATAAAACAACAACCAAAAAAAAAAACTACTGCACTATAACCAGAACATTATATTGCAAGAGCAATGTGCATTAAAGAATGAGCAAACTGCTAGGGGGTCTAGAACCATGATCCCTCTTTTACTGCTAGGAACGTAGAAAAAGGCAGTGGCAAAAGTTAAAGCTCACCCATCTTTGTTATGTATGTCATGATGTTCCAGAATATATAAAAGGATCTGTTGCTATACTGTTGACATACATTGAACCATAGGGTAATGATGAAAGTGTCATGTTAACTTTATGGGTATCATTAGCTGTTGTAAATGATACTATAAGAAGATTATGTAAAGTATAAAATGCACCTCAAATATGGCAAAAAATAACATGACATTTAATTACATACAATGCACACATCAAAAAGAAAAAACAAAAAACAAAAACCACAGACAGAACTACAGGCAGGCCAGACTTGGTGGCACACAGTCTTAATACCCATACTTGGGAGGCAGAGGCAGGCAGATCTCTGTAAGTTTGAGACCAGCTTAGTCTACATAGTGAGTTCCAGGATGGCCAGTGCTATGTGGAGAGGCTGTCTTAAAAACAAAACAAAACTAAAAAAACAACAACAAAAGAAAATAGACAAATATAAAAGTATTTAGTTATAAAACTGCAACAATAAAATATGATGAGAAAATAGGTACATCTGTGAACTACGACTTAAAACTATATAGGATAAAAAACACGTATGAAGATAAAACTAGGAGAAAATGTCAGTTTCTACAAAGCTTCAGAAGAATGTTCAACAAACCATGCACACAGGCAGAGGAGAGGCTGATTCAAGAGCTGGGAGACAGCCAGGCAGAGTGCCTGGCAGCTCTGGTTTCATCCCTAGCACTGAATGGGGGAAAAGGTGTGTAGAAGGGCAATGTGAAAAATACTGAAAGTGCATTATGTAAGGAGGAAATAACTACAAGATAAAAAGAACCTATGAGGCAACAGACTGAATCCAGTGTTCAGTCTCTACCAAAGAAAGCAATAGGTTCAGACAGGATAGTTAACCTTGAGAGGAAGAAAGGTACTCATCCTCCAGTGCAATGGAGGAAAATAGGAGCTGAGAACAATAAAAGTCTCAAAGGCACATAAAGTGAGTTTTTAGACATGTTTTGTTAAATGATTAAAATATAAATATGGATGATGTGGTCATGCATCTTTTACTTTATCAAAATTAAATGACAAGCCAAATCAGGGTGGTATACATCCATTATTAGAACAAGGAATGCTGAGCCAGGAGGACTGGAACAGTAACGATAAAAGGACACGAGTGACATAATACCTCATGGCTGTCAGAGATGAGCCTAGAAAGTGAAGCATGTACAAGGCGAGTCCTTCTAAAACAAGTCCTTCTAAAACAAGGGCCACAGGGCTTTGGACTTGCATTTGGACTCTGCATTTCGAGTGTTTATGGATATGCTGGGTGTGGGTTCCAGGTCCAAAGAGAAATTCATTTATAGACCACATATGCCTCACACCTACGGCCTGAATATCTGACGTATTTTGTCTTGTTTTCAGATAGTATCTTGCTATGCAGCCCAGGCTGGCCTCACACTCAATGTGTGTGCTATCACACCTGTCACCTGAAGGGTGTCTTAATTTGCAGTGAACTCATGTTTTGTGACTCCTGCCAGATAGCAGATTTTGCCATGTGTGGTGTTACCTCAACAAGTCTCCATTTTTTGAACACTGTGGATTTTTGTTTTTACATTTAGGATGATCAATATATATGGATTTGATTTTTTAAAAGTCGTAACAGAAAAATTCTGAAGGGATTCAGGTGCTATTTTCTGTACTCATTTAATAAAATGTCTTGTTTTGTCCAAAAGCACAATAAAAATTAGGAAGAAATACTTACCAAAGAAAGGCACACATGGTGGATTAATAGACCTGAGTTTTGCCAAATATTTCTTATAGTGATCTTCACTCAACTCATGAGCTTCTTCTAAAATTTTCTTTTGTCTACTTGATATTTGCTATAATAGTAAAAATAAAAATTAGGATGCCCCAGTTGTACAAGAATTACAAAAATTGCTTCCCCCCCCCCCCCAAGATACCCAACTAATCATTATGGCCCATTCATAATCAGTTGACTCCAGACGTTACTTAGTACTGTTTTTATAGATTTTGAGACAAGGTCTCATAATTTACCCCTGGCTAGGTTGGAACTCACTCTGTAGACCAGGCTGGCCTCAAACTCATGGAGATCCAACTGCCTCTGCCTCCCAAGTGCTGGATTAAAGGCCTGAGTGACCACACCTGATTAATGCTGTCTGTTTTAAGCCTTACTCATACACTTTAGAACCTAAAAGTGTGCATGATATAGTCTCTTGTCACCCCTCATACAATTTATGTGAATGTTTAACTAAGCATTACAAATAAGCTGCTGATGTACGTCAGCAAGCTGGCTCACCACGTAAAGGCACTGTTGCACAAGCCTGGCCATCTGAGTTTGGCCCCCAGACCCTATCAAGATGGAGGAACCTACTCCACAAAATTCTTTTGACCTCTACATGTGCCTAGGGAAGACACCTGAGCACAGACACAATTAAGAAAATAAAATGCTGAATGTTTTTTTTTTCCTAACAAGCTGGAACCTATGAATAAATTTTAATGAGAATACTTCATTTTAAAAGAGAAACCAATTCATTATGAAATTTAGATAAATCCAATGTCTAATCTGAAAAACAAAGGAGACACTTAAATATCATAATTGTTAACATCCTAATTTCCCATTTTATTAGCATACGTTAGTAATACACAATGGCAGGCTTAATAATGACATTTTCATACATGTCTGCAATGCACTTTGACCACACTCGTCCCCAGCACTTTCTGGCCAGTCATCCTTTCCACTGTCATGTCACTTCTCTACCAGCGATTCACTGAGTTAACCAAGGTTGCTTACAGGAGCACAGCTGAGGGGTTACTTATGAACCTTACCTGTAGTTACACTACTGAAAAAAGTGTCTCCCTCTCTCAGCAACCACTAACGACAGTCATCCAGTGGAAGAGAGAGGCCCTTTATAATCCCCTCTCAGCATCTGGACAGCATCTGTGCTGATGGCCAGTTTTGTACAGGTCATATGCTGATAATCACAGCTGCTGAGACTATAATGGCTATGTCATGTAAATTCCTACTGTTACAATAAGCAATGGAAGTTCATCTTAAAACACACGTACAAACCTACCTCAAATGTGTGGTCTAGCCTGTAAACAGGTGACGAGTTCATAGCACTGACAACTTCAAGGACACCATTGAAGTTGTTCAGCTCTTGAAAGACTTGTAGAATCTCAATTATTCGACTCACCACAGCCACTCTTTCTTCTAAGTTTTCTGTTTCTACAATACATCTAGAAATTGAAACAAACTAGAAATTAAAATTTTGAATTTTCCCAAAAAGCTATGATTCAAAAAGTTTTAGTGAAACTAGAGAGTGTGTGTCTTCAGCATGACTACAGAAAAGACATATTTACAGTGATAGATTGCATAGGAGACTGCAGAGAAAGGTTTCTGGTAAAGCATGTTGCTCTTTTCTGATGTCTAGGCTGCTATAGCCAGATAACCATTTTCCTAATATATTTAGCGCATCCTCTATGATTAGCATTACAATCTTACTGGATTTGTGAATGTTTGTCATTTAGGTGTGTTCTAGACATGTTTATTCTAGAACTGTTGTTTCCTTTGTGTGTGTGTATACACAGTTCTATTTCAGTGATTCATTCCTTTGTTTGCCTAAGACAAAGTCTTGCTATATAGCTGAAGATAGCCTGAAACTGGTCATATTCTTGCCTCAGCCTTCTAAGTGATAGATTATAAGTGTACATCACCATATCAACCTTAATTTTGTTTTTTGACATATAGAAATAATTTGTATTGTTTGTAGAAATAGCTTTTAAGATAACTATTAGTATATTGCAAATTCAGTTGAAATATTTTACTTTAAAAAATGGCAAGTGAGGTATCTCAATGGCATAGTTTATATCGTACTTTAGGCTCTGAGTTTAATTCTCCAGAACAAGAAGCCAACAGAACATACTACCTAGAAACAAACAAAAACACACTTTGTTTTTACATACTGAGAATCTATATATTAAATAGTTTATTATATAATGATACAACATATACAGTATATGTTATATCTTTATTTTTCCACCAAATAAAGTATTTTAAAAAGAAAAAAAAATCCTAGCCACATATGGCTGAGCAGCAACTGCAGATGCCAGCACTTGGGAGGCAGAGCAGAGGCAGTGCTGCCATCCCATCAACTTGTACCACAGAGTCCCAGGGCTGCCTGGCCTACAAGTTAAGACCTTGTCTCAAACAAACACACACCCATCAAAGACTGCTTAGTCAACATTCATGCTTTCTTTTTACTTATTGATAATTTGTCGGTAAAGAAAAAAACACTTTAAACCTAGTTTTTAGTGACATTAATAGCTATCATGTAAGAAAAATTAACTGCAAAACTAAATACACATTATTAACTTTTTAAAAATATAAAGCTAGCTACAGATTATTTTTTGATAACACTAATAATACTAAGAATAAAACCACTACACTTGAAACTATCAAAAATTGGCTTATTATCAAATTAAACATAATGTTTACATATTTAAAGAATTATGTACAAATATTCTGGCTAGATTATTAGCTGAATAACACAAGTATGATATATATCATTAACTATTTTGGTTACTAAGAGTAGAAATGAAGATCATTGATAGTGCTTTCTGGTTCCAGTTCTACTGGAGGTGTAGGCTCAGGACACTGAGGTGAGTAAGAAAGAATCTGTCACACTGAAAACGAAGGTAGTGGCTTTCCTTTAAACAGTGCATTAAAAAGATCCACAGGACAGTGCTCTATGTCTCATTAGTTATACTTCTCTTTCCCAGTGTGACATGCCTCAATTATTACGGTGAGAAGGGGCTTCTGTAAATTAAAATATATCAATTTTAAGATGAAATCAGGAAGCAACATTTTGAGAGAAAATTCTAGTTTTTATCATCTCTGACAACACAGAAACTCTAGCTTTCATGTGACTTGGACTGCTTCAGTCCTTTATCCAGACCTGTCTTGTATGCTACCAACTGCTTATTCTTATAATCCCAATATGATCTGTAGATTCTCACATCTTTACTCAGAAAAGTAATATCCAGTATGCAAATCTACAGTCTCTAGTTCCCAGTGCTAAAGTGCACTGACTTCTTGGCTTCATTAGATACTTTAGCTCGGCTGACCTACTCCAGTGAAAACTATCAAAGCAAACCACACCCACCCACCCTAATTTATAATAAGTATGTCAGAGTCTTTGGAAGTGGCCCTAAGAACAAGCTGCAAATGAAAGATTGTTCAGGAAAACCTACAAAACCATTTCTTAAAGAAGGGAGAGTCTGGGTATTTCAACTAAGATTGTCCCTCCTCTCCTTCCTTTCTCTGGAGCATCCATTCCAGATTGTTGTAGGTAAGAGCACCTAGTGCCAGCTTGGGATTTTCAGTGTTGCAGGGTGGATGGCTAGATGGGTTCCTATGCTGAGGAGTAGGATTTCACGGAGTGCAGTCTGAGTGTAGTCTTAATATTTATTTATTCTATAATACTTAAGATGTGAGGAACCCCTCCCTTTGCCAACTTAAGGGCTGAGGCTGTAGGGTAATTAGAATGCTGAGAAAACAGCCCTTTGGCCCCTGATGATGGTTCCATGCTAAGAGGCGGCTTAAAAAGACCTGAGGCCACAGCGTCATTCTTGGCACTTCACTCTAAGCTCTTAGAATGGAAAGAGAGCTTGTAATCTCGTCCTCTCTAGAACTGTCACACAGATAGCTCCTAATCTCTTACCATCTATAACAAAGCATTCAGGAACAATGGTGGTTGTCATGAAAGGCAACTGGGAAGAAATCTGGAGATACAAGGAAAATATATAGCCTCAGCTATGTTTTAGCTGGTTTTCTCAAGAGAACCAGGAAGATATTTGGAGAGGGAACCTTCTGGGGTTAGAACTAATACCAGTAATTAAGAACCTTAGAAACTTCCAAGAAGACAGAATCCCATTGGCTTGTTTTCCACAGCAGTTTTGTGCTACCAGGAAACTGGCCACAACAAAAGAGTGAACATGGCAATTAGTAGTTCAACCTTTAGCAGCTCAGTATGCACAGTCTAGGAGAGAGTGGATGTGAGCTATACCAGAATCAGTCTTCCCAGAGTGACTATGGGCATACCAGATCTAACCTGCTGAGTTCACTTCACATTTAAGTAGCAAAGAAAAAGCTGTGGAAGGCAGAAGATAGTATTGAAAGTTGCTATATCTATCATAAAGCACATAAAGACATAAATACATGACCTAAACAGTGGAATAAAAGCAGGGAGAAGAAACTGCCTATACAAGTGACTAGAAGTCAAATTAACAAAAAGATTTCAAAGATGCCATCAAACTATGTTCACAGAACTGTTCATAGTAAAGCTGTAAGGAAGGTATGCCAACATGTACCTAGAAAGAGTACCATGAAAGCAGTAAAAATATAGAAAGAACCAAATGGAAACAAGAATAAAAAACTGGAGGGCTCAATAGTAGATGTGAACTGACAGAATTAAAAAAAAAATAACTAATTTGAAGATAGAGCTATTGTTCAAAACTAAAGGCAAAATGTTTAAACAACAACAGCAATAAACCCTGCACACGTGTTGCTAGTTGACCCACTGCACAGGAACACTAAAGGACGTTCTCTTTAGGCTGAAAACAAGTGACCCCAGACGGTAATCCGAATCTACACAAAGTACATCAGTAAAGGTAATTATGTAATTGTAAAAACACTCTACATTTTCCTCATTTTTTTTCTTTTACCTGTTTTAAAAAGCAACTGATTTAATGTGTATGAATGTATTTTTGAGTCTGTAGCATAAAATGTAGTATACTGCCAAGAGCACAACAAATGAGTAGATGAAAGCAGCCCCTCAAGGTTAAGATGGTGACAGCAGAAGGAAGGTAGTAACTGTGACGGAGCATTGCTGAGTGTGCACCATTACTGAGGGGTAGCCAAACAGGAGAAAGGAGAAGAGACGTGGGAGGAGCAGCTATCTGCTAGAATGAAGCTGCGACCAATCTGGAGCCTCAACTGATAAAGGAAGATGCATGTAGTTAGCTCCAGGCAACCATTAAAGATCAAAATATTAGTGGAATTAAAATGCACATTAGAAAAATATTTAGTGTGCAAGAAACGTGAATGAACGAACTTAAGACAAGTGACATACAGAAGCAAAACAGCCTTGGAATTCATACCCTACCCATTGCTACAGAACAAAATGTCAACAACACTTACTTCTCAAACCACAGAGTGAGGTTAGTGGTGTGGCGAATCATTTTCAGAAGGTTGGGAGAATTAATTTCTTTGTCTTCTTTTGTCCACACACTTCCAACTAATTCTGATGGCTGTACAGCTCTAAAATCATCAACATGAGATGGTACATCACATTTCTCCTTCAGCATCATTTACTACGTTAGAAAAAACTAAACTTCTTTTATAAACGTTCTTCTTTCATCAACAGAGTTGGTAAAAACAAGATGAATATTTACAATTTTTTGTTGTATGTTTTCAGATTGGAAATACTTTGGTAGCTACTCTTGCATAATGCACTTATTGCTCATTTGTTTACTTTCAAGACAGTGTCTTCCTAGGTAGCCCCGGGCAGGTCTTGCTTGCTAGCCCAGCTGGCCTGGAACACATGGCAGTTGCCTGCTGCAGCCTCCTGAGTGCCAGGATTACAGCCTATCACCACGGTGGTTTGATATTTACTGCATACTTTCTTACACAATGTCTTTTTTAGCACTTACAGACATTATTTACTAAGTTAGGATGGTAAAGTAGTTATTTAAATAGTATCCATAAGTAACCAATGAGGGTACAGCAATTACTAAAATTCATTTTTGCTTTGTTTTTGCGCTTACAGTGGATAGAAAAGAAAAGCCATCCTGCAAAAGAGCCTTTGAAATGAACTGTAAAATTCTAACATTATCATTTTGGGGACCTTAATAAATGTAGGTGAGAGAATTTATAAATTTAGCTCTTTTTCTAGTTTTGTTATTAATAATTTTGAGATTTTAAATAGAATTTAAAACCAGAAACATATTTCTCAGATAGTTCCATCAATGAGCAATACTGAATTATAAACAGCTATAGCTGGCTGAGCCTTAACTTTAACATAGTAGTGCTCTATCTTGTACTATGGAGTAACTGCTGCAGTATGGCTTTGTGCTCAGCCTTGGTATGCACTGTGCAACCTCACAGTCTTAGTACAGTCTTTGGCTTCAATTTCCTTGCAGGGAACAAGCAGATGGATGAAAGTTACACAAGGAAACTTAAGCCAGTAATTGGTACTGCCAGCATTTGAACTAAGCTTACCAAGCAGAGGTAACTGGAAAGACTACAAAGTAAAACAGATCAAGGATGACTAAGGGGGCCAAAGGACCAGAACCAACTGCTAAGCCTTAATGCTACTAATATATCACATACCATCTCATTTACAGCTTAAGACAACCCTAAAAGCAGAAAATGTATTCCATTTTTAAAATGAACTCTTGAGATAACTTCTGAGTTTGAATGGTGAATAACATACCGGTATAGATCTGATTCAAGTAAAGTGAGTTGTCGAGCAATTTCTATTGGGTGTAAGGTGAGCAAGTCAAAAGTCTCTATGTGCCCAGGTCTGCTTATGTGCCACTCAACTGTGGGAGGTGAACTCTGAAATGTAATATTATGACCTGGGCCATTGTCTCTTGCAATTTTTTTCCTTTGGATTATCTTAGTGATGGATTCGACCCATTTTTTCATTGCTTTACCTGAAATACATTTTAACAAACATTTAAATATTCTTTAATACTTTGTCTTTAAAAATGTTTAAAGTGATACAGGTGATATATGAATAAATCATTGCTATAAAGTTCAAATAAGCAAAGTAAATACTAAAAGTTCCCCTTCCAACCACCCTCTCTCCATTTTCCACACAGGTAATTGTTAACAGTTTGCCATGTATCTAGCCCTCTCTTAAAAGAATTTAAAAAGTAATTTGATTTTTCCCCCTCCAACATTTTAAAACAGTTCAAAATACTATGTTTAAAATCCCACCATACAAGATAATATTCAATACAAACTGAAAGATTAATAAGAGTAAATTACATACATTCATGTGTCTAATTAACATTGTATTTATGAGGACTGAGTCATCATATCAGTCTACTTTTTGATGTGGCTGTCTTTTGTACTGTTCAGAAAGTAATAAATTTAACCCTTTGTTTGCTGATTTTAATTTAGACTGAACAATGGATATAAAATCAAGTTTGTCTAGGGTACCTCTGGAGTCATATAATCACAGAATTTTTAAAGTACATGAAACCCTGGAGATAATAAACCCTAGTTCCTCATAAGTAACCTGAAGTCTAAAGAATCAAAGTTATGTATCTGGTTAGTAGTGTTAAAAGTAGTCTGTCAGTGTAATGCATTATTATCTCTCTGATTTGCTCTATTTATCTATTCACCTTTATCAATACTGTTACAGTGATAAAAAAAAAAATCCAATCTGTACCGTAGGTAAACATAGTTTCAATTAAGTGGTCTAGTTTAAACAGAGACTAAAAGAACCAGTTCTATAACAGATTCAACAGATACATTGAGTCAGCAGGATGACTGTTGAATAATTTACAGGTGTTAATGCTGGGTTCTGTTCTTGTTGCTGAGACATGGTCCCACTACTGTAGTCTGGCTGTCCTGGAACTCACAGAGATCCTGTTGCCTCTGCCTCCTGAGTGAAGGGACTAGAAGTGTGTGCCAGGTGTGATTTAGGTATCAGCCTAAATGCTGTATGATGAGAAAGTTTAACATTGTAAATGAGCTATTATGCTATCAATTGAGGGTAATCATATTGGTAATTTTATCACATATGAAAGTAGGAACTGAAGAAAAACATACCTCTTACTGTTCCAATAAATTCCTCCATTCTTTGTAACAGGTCTGCATCTCTCTCAAAGTCATAGAAGTGGTGCTCCACCCAGTGCCGACAGACATTTAACACTCTGTGGCAATAACACAGCTGGATTACATGGGATCTCACATTGTGTCTACACATGCAGCAAGCAAACAGCCTCCTAAGGCTGTATAAGACTCTTAATTAATCCACTCAGTTTGCTACCCTTCACCTTGCTTAGAACAGTTTTTTCAGCATTTCTACTTTTTGGGGCTTTGGTTTTTGAGAGAGGGTCTCTCTGTGTAGCCCCGGCTATCCTGGAACTCAGAGATCTGCCTTCTTCTGCCTCCCAACTGCTGGGCTTACAGATGTGTGCCATCACTGCCCAGATTTGAACATTTCCCCTTTGAGAAACATTTCCTCCGTTTGAGATGCTGCAGTTACTCACTGCAGCCGTGTCGTTCCTGCTTACCGCAACTGCACAGGTTGGATATATTCCTTTCTAAACCTTTTCAGCTCTGCACTCAGGGGCTGACCCCCATTCTCTATAGCTATTCGATCAGTTTCTGTTGGCTCAGGCTCTGGAATTTCAAATCTAACAAGAAACAGAAAAAAAAAAAAACTAATGAAAATATTATATCAAATCCATAATCACAAACCTTTATTTACACTAACCAGTACAATAAAGAGTACTATAAAAATCACTACAGATATACATACACATCAGTGAAAATTCACAAGGCTTTTATAATGTAAAGGCTAATGATAATATTTTTTTTTAAATTTAATTTTGCCAACAGTGCTAAAACTAACTAGAAGAAAATAAAAATACATGTACAATTTAAAAGATAGGACTAATGTTCAGTTTTAGTTTATAGATTACTCTAAATCAGTAGACATAATTTTAAGGGTGACCAGTGCTTGAATCTTGATTGCTCTTTGGGTAGATAAAAAACATTTTCCTTGATAAAAACATTTGTTCATTGACAAGATTCATTTTATTCAATATGTAGTATATTTAAAGCTTGTTTAGAACTTGTGAAGCATTAAAATCTGAATATCTAGTGTCTCGTTATTTTAAAAACATGGTTTCATGTAGTTCAGAGTAACTTTAAATTTAGATGACCTTTAACTCTTGATCCTCCTGCCTCTATCTCCCAAGTTCTTGGATTGTAGGTATATGCCCAGTCTATAGTCTAAATCATCCATATTTGTATAGTTCTTTTAACTTAATTAATTTGGGTTGGGAATACTGTTTAGATTGAACCAAAGGCACATGGTTCAATCCCCAATGCCTGAAAAGTTGGAGTTTTAAATATTAAATCAATGTAAAAAGATAATCTATTTAAATAATCAAAGTTACATGTAAAACCGGTAGTTTTATCTTACGAGTTCAACTACAGTTAAGCTTATTATCACATTTATGGGAAACATGTATCTTAATCTTCTCAAAACCAAAGAACTTAAGCATTTAAAATTGACAGACCTTTCTATTATAAGACTCAGTAGTTCTTGAGGTTTGCAAAAGGATCTGTATGTTGTAAGAAACGTCCGAACAAAATTGGGATCTAGGAAGAAAAAAGAAAAATATTAAATTCTTGGATAAACAATTATTTTCAGCTTCAAAAGAGATCAAATACTCAGTCTTAAAACTCCCCAAATATTTTTACCATATAGACAGCTTTGGGTTTTATAATATACTGCTTAGTTTCAGTACTTCCTAAATCAGTGGCAAACAACAACAAAAACCCAAAACAAAACAAACCCAAAGAAAAGCTCAAAAATCACTAACTGTAAAATACAATCAACTGACTTCTTGACCTGTCCTAAACTCATCATTGGCAAGGAATGTGCACTGAAAGGAAGCAAAGGCACAGAATTGAACCAGGCCTTGTAGAGATGGTAGCAGCAATAACCTATCCATATCCTGACATCTAGTTTAATGGAAATGTTTCCCAACTTCCTTTAGATCATGTTAACAAAGCATAAAACTAGAGACTGAGTCTTACAAAGTAGAAGGGTAAGCTAAATAGTTTTTAAATGGTCTTAATTGCTGAGGCCTTATTTACAACTGCTAAAAAAAAAAAAAGTTTCAAACCCCTCTAAGCCATTAAAAACACCATGAGATGGCTCAGCAGGCAAAAATCCTTTGCTACACAAGTTTGATGATCTAAGTTCAATCTCAGATCCCAAAAGTTGTCTGATGCTTGAGTGCGTGCGCACACGCACACATACAAACACACACACTGCGTGTTCCTGCCATACTTATGAACATGTGTCAACACAGAGATGATAAAAAACATAATCCTAAAAACCTCTTGTTTTTATCTCTTCCCAACCCTTTTTATTTGAAGTAGTTACAATGGAAGTTTAGTCCTAAGAGCAGGAGGCTCCACCCACTTCTTCAAAAGCCTCCTTTGTATTCACATCCCCATGGACTAGAATAGAGGCCACTGAGTCATGTCACTCTCCTGGGTTGTCCCCTCTGATTTTCCCTGACTATATTCTCCCTGGGTAGAAGAAGGACAGCTGTAATCAGCACAGAAGACCACGGCTCTTGTCTTCTGCATGAAGAAGGAAAAGGCACTTTCTTGTACTAGAGGAGAAAACAAACAAAAAAACATTTCTCTGGGTGTGGTGGCACTGGCCTTCAACCTCAGCAGAGGAGAGGCAGATAGATTCTGGGAGTTCAAGGCCAGCTAGAGATACATACTAAGACTCAAAGCCCCACTTACTTCCACAGCAGGTTTTTCTAAGGCCCATACTTAGTCCTCAGTCTTTAAAGAAAAGGGAGCATTTGTTAACTTGAGTCTTATGGGAACATTTCCCTGTTTACATTATGGACACGGGCAAACTCTTGACGGTAAAGTCACTGATGACAGTAAATTCCTATGCATTATCAAAATTTTATAAGAAGTCCTTTATTAGGATAAGTTTAGTGACATTAGGGTATATTCAGAAAAAATTTTAGGTTGATTCTAAGAAGTACCCCAAATTTAACCTTAAAAGATCACAGTAATTTTTTACCTTAAACTCAAGTTCATGGATTTATGACAAGCTAGAACCCTGATCTAATCTGCTGGTATACATTATCATCAAGACAGTGAACTGATTTAGCTACCAAACGGCCCTGAATTGAAAATATTTAATAATGTTTCATTTTGAAGAAAAATTTGTAGAACAAAAGGATATTATTGTGGGAGTTTTTTGCTTTTGAGATATGGCCTAGCTAGGTATCCATGCTGGCCTTGAAGTCACAATCCTCTTGTGTTAAGTCTCCCAAGTGCTGGCATGTCTGACCATGCCTCCAGCTAAAAAAATTCTTTGGTTTTATTTAGTGTTCCTTCCTTTAGTTTATACCTCCTGAGGCTAGAGTGGGTTACTGGTAAAAGTATTTTAAATACATAAAATCTTTTAATAATTTCCTTTCTGTTGGTATTTTATTGTTTGTCTTCAGTTACAGAGATCCTCAGTTAAAGACTAATGTCTCATCCAGAAGAAAAGATTTAAAAACAGAAGGCTGTACAAGATTTTAAAACAGAGATATTTATCGGTTCCATCACAACCCTCCCTTTCAAGAATCTTCTTCCTGTTCTGCAAATCTATTTGTAAGGTGAGGCTTCTCAAAATAGCATGTGTTTAGGAAGCGACAGCTGTGGCCACAGTTGGGATGCTCGGCTGTCCCTGCTGGAGAGCCTTTGTGTCCTAGATGAAGTCTCTGAGCATCTCTGGGCTGTACTCCACATGGAGAGTGTGTGCCCACCCCTCCTCCAAACACAGGGTTATGTCAGGCTGGTGATCTGATATCTACACTCAGCACTATTTCTTCCCAAATGCCATCCAATGTCAGGCTAAAAGCAGTGGGGTATAGACAGAAGAGAAGCAAGTGCTAAGTATGTTTTCAGAAAAGTATGGCTACTTTGAAAGTGGGGTCCCCTCCTCTTAGGCAGTACCTGATGATGCAGGCACGCTGCGCCTTAGTGCCACAGTCAAATGGGACGTCAGTCCCTGATGGCTACTGTTTAACTTCTCCAGGAGAGTGTTTACTTATATTTATCTATCCAGTTACTGGACGGTGAGTAGGTGAGGTCAGAGCAGTAACGAAACTTCTGGAATGGTCAGACAGTAGAGCGGGAGAACTACAGAAAAGAACATAGCCATGCAATCGATTCCTGCTCTGGTGTTCTTTTCTACTAAGCCAGATACCCTTCTAGAATCAAAGGAGTCCCATAAGCTTTCCCTAGCTCAGAATTTATCAGCAAATGATAGTGTCACTATAGAAGTTCATGCAACATGCAAATAATTAATTCAGAATGCAGTTGTAACCACTAAGCTGGTTAGAGGTACCAGAAGTCACTGGAAATAAGCAATCTAATTATGATCTTCTAACTTTTAGAATGTTAGGAAGCAGCAGCTGGTCTTTCTATAACACTGTTCATAAGAGGAATTTATGGTGCTGGCTATTGAGAAGTACTCCACAGTAAGCACCACTGTAGTATGGTGCTGGCAAACAGAATAAATACTCCTCAGTAACCACTGGTGTAGCGTGGTCTAACGTGACTGAAGCTGAATTCGTTGTCTTGGCTGGAAGCTAAAAGCAGCCTTGCCAAAAAGGGAGGGTGGGTGAATGTAGAAGAACTAGAATACTCCAAGAGAGCTGGCAAAAGCTTAAGTATTGAAAAAAGAAAGGAAAGAATTAGAAACTACCCATATTCAACATACATGCCCACACACATTATTTCTAATTTAAAGCAATAAAAAATTCCTGTATTTTGAAATTTTACACAGAGAAGCTATAGATACATGCTCCAGAAGTTATTTTTGTCTCTGTTGTGTTGATTTCTCCATCTCAGACTCAAAACACATGCTATGCCACATCAGCCACAGAAGACCTTTATCTTTATGACAGTGCAGAGGACTAAAGTAACCTGATATTTTAAAATGCTCACCAATAAGGACAATTATATAACTTTATAAGAAAACAGTATCTCCTTCTACTCAACAGGCAGTGATTGAAAATTAACACACACTGTTGTCTGCTTGCGGTACTGCGGTATACCTACCCATATTCTAAAATGTTTCAGAAACAGGAGGCAAACATAGAAAAATAAGAAAGTCGGGCAGTTTAGTTTTAAAGTACAAGCATGAACAAGCACCCACCAATAAAAATGTAGCTCCATTTGATATCTTTCAGTGTATAAGCAGAAGTTAGTCTAGAAATGTACTGTTAAGACATACCCTAGACTTTCAACACAAGCAACAACAAAATCGTTCTGTGGTTTTTTTCTAACCCTCCAGAAGTAATCTCCTTACTTTTTTCCCCACCATGTTCATAGTTTCTCAGCTTCCTCCTCTCCATACCTTCTTTATACAAACATCTACTGAGTCTAGTCTGAAGTTCCTGGCAGAGGCCCTTGTCTCTTCAACTCTAAGCTGTAGTTATTCTTATGTGTTTGTCTTTCTGTTTGTTTTCTGAGATGGGGCCTCATGCATCTCAGATTGACCCAGAACTTACTATGAAGCTGAGGATCACTTTGGACTTCTAATCCACCTGCTTCTACCACCTTAGTATTACAGGGAGAGATGACAGGCATGTGCCACTATGCCCAGTTTATGAGGTGCTAGGAACTGAACCCAGAGCTTCATGCACTCTAGGCAAGCATTCAACCAACTGAACTACATACCCAGACCATGGTTGCTATTTTTGACTAGCCTTCTAGTTGACCTCAACCCCTAGACAATTCTGTGTTATTTGGTGTACAATTTAAAAAAAAAAAAAAATCTTCTGAACTTCAATCTATCTACAGTACATCTAATGTTTAGAATACAGCATATTAGATTTGAGGTCATCAGTTTTCCATTTTCTGCCCCTATTTTGATTTAACAGTTGACATTTAATATGGCAAGGTCGTAAGACTTATGAAGTATTTATTACATTAAGAAGCTATTTATGTAGAACACCCTCCCCCATCCACTACAGTGGAACACTGTTAATCAGGATGTCTGCTCATGTGATAATACTCCCTTTTAATACAGCCATTTAAAACCTCAAGAAACAATAAGCTCCTCAGCAAGGACTTATAAACAATCACTTTTGAATTCCTTAAAAAAAGGAAACAGACGCTATGCTGACGCACAAACACTTAAAAAAAAAAAATCAGAGTTTAAAAATAGAAGAGCACTGCCCTATAGATCAAAAATTGTTCAGACTTTAAAAGTTAAACGCCCAAACTGAAGTTATGCAAGATGAAGACTCAAATGTAATGTAGAATTTTGAATATTTTATATTCGAGTGCAAAGATAGCAGTAAATACATCAAAGAAAAAGGTCTTAGGTTTTCTCAATTTCATCTTCTACAAAAGTAGTTCAGCACATAAAGGAGACAGTTTCCCACACTTCAGTGTGTTCTAAATTATCATTACCCTTGCCTCAAATTCATCATCCCATTTTCTACAATACACGACCAGACTAATACTACCACCAACTATTTTTCTACTGTTGTTGCTGTATCTCATAATTAGTTGCATTTCGGTTTCTACAGCAGTTCTATGAAATGAACTTCCTGCTCTCCTTTCCCCTGTGACATTGCTTTGTGCTTGCTTACTCTAGGTAAGGAAACTGTCTCTTCATATCACTGCCAAATTTAAAATAATTCAGCTGAGTAATTTTCCTTTCACCATTCAGAAAGAATTCCCCTAAGTCTGATCTAATCAGTGACCTGTCTATATGCAGAAACACTGGGGATAAAAAACAGGTTATAAATTAGACTCTACACCAGACTGTCATCATTTATGTATGTTAGCCATCTTTAAACTCACCTAAATATATATGTATTTTTCCAGAAAGCTTTACGTGTATAGAGCAAGCTATTCTGGTATGCAGTAACTGGGCTCTGTCCAGGAAAAACCTGGTGGCACACACCTGTAATCCCAGCACTCGGGAGGCAGAGGTAGGCAGATCTCTTTGAGTTCCAGGCCAGCCTGGTCTACAAAGCGAGTCCAGGACAGCCAAGGTTACACAGAGAAACCCTGTCTCGAAAAACCAACCAACCAAACAAAAACAAACTATTCTCTTTAATAGTATACCTGTATTTACCACAAATAAATAACCACCATGAGAGTAATTAAAACTCCATTTATTTTTATTATTCATCATGTAAAACTTTTTAAGAAATGCTATATTAAAATAATTTTTAAAAACTCAGTTTGGAAGTGTCAGTGGGACGTGGGTAGAACATGTATTCTGAAGAGTAAAGAAATTAACTTCTAGACTTCATTCTGTAACTAACTGATAGGATTTCTAGCAAATCAAACAACCTACAGGGGTCTTGGGCTTTTGTTTATAAACTGAGGGTGCGGACAGCTCCCAGCACCACAGGTGTGTTAGCCCTGTTTGTAACACTTGAGAAATCAGGTTAGCTGAAGCCAAACTGAGCCTCAGTTAATCAAGTGTGAGCCAGTCTTTCTGTTTTTATCATGTCTTAGCAACTTACCCTACTCTAGATGTCTAAGTGCTGTGTTCATCGTTAGTTATCAAATTTCCTCATGTATTACACAGTGCCTTTCACTATATAATAAAGTGTACGTTAGTAATTTTAGCCCTTATTTCAGTATAAGCCACAACCAGTACTGCATGTTCTCCAACAGAAACACCCTAAGAATCAACTAACCAAATAAAAATCCCTTTTTTGATAAGAGGAAACACAGACTATAGTTCACATCACTACACTGGACTGCATACACATGGTGCACAGACACACACAAAGTAAAACAAGCTCGTAAAATAATCTCACAAGCGATAGCTCTATCTGTTGCCACTGCAGAGAGAACTTAACGTACACTCAGCTGGGGAGACCCTATAATACTACTTTGATGCCTTACAAATCCATGGGTGTCTATCAAGTGCATATTTCATACAGCCATAATAAGCCAATAATGGGCTTTAGGGAGTAGTTGATCTATTAAAAACAATTCTGTACTGCAAGTAAAGACTCACAGACTTCAAAGAATGGCTAGTAAACTCGTATCACTAATTTCATGACTGTGAGCTCACAACTCATAAAGTCATTAGTGGATTTCAGCTATACCAGTAACATATTTATGAGACAAAATATTTAATTAAATTTCAAAACAGGACAAAAAAAGATATCAAAAATTTAGTTGACTTTTTTAATATTGACTTTTTTTAAATATTGGAAGGTTCAAATTTTTTTTTTTTTAATTTAAAAAGTAAAACATAGACTGAAGCAATGACTCCAAGGTTAAAGAGCACTGGCTGCTCTTCTAGAGAGCCTGCGTTTGATTTTTAACAAATCTGTAACTCAAGCCCCAGGGAATCTGACCCCCTCCTCTGGACTCCACGGGCATTGCACCCCACGGTGCAGACATACACATAAAATTTTTTTTAATTAAAATAATCTCATTAAATATCAGTAAACTTAATTTCATCAAAAATTGTATAAAATTAGAAATTTAATTATTATATTTAAAAAGACCATGCAAATTATTAATTCATGCAAAATCTGAAAGTTGACAGCAGTGTGCCATCAGATGTGTTAAGATAACATGACAAAGGTAGACCCTTAGTAGGATTGCACACTTAAGGAATAAAAACTGCTAGACCACATAAAACCTATCGGCTTACTGAAGTATTCTTAAATGTATACTCAATTTAAAAAAAGATCTGTCTAAATAAAGAAGTCAGTTGTAACTTATAACTGCTAATCATGAACTAGTTCTGTCAAATATAGCAGTTTAAAAATTACAGAAATGTTACACAAAGATAACAGATTTTATAATATAGAATTAACAATTGACTTTTGATAGAAAAAAGGACAGCTTGTTTTATTGAGTCTCCAGTGACCATCACTAACTATGCTGTAGAGAAAATTAAACTCTATTCCTTAAAAACCAGAGGTAAAATACAAGAAATAATTTACTCTAAATAGTGTACAAACACCACCCCTCAAAAAACTACTCAGGGCCACACGTCACTCCTCAGGACACTACAGTATTACCATCTAGTTCAGATTCATTGAACTTACATGGGTTTTGCTTTGTCCTTTTCTTAAAAAACAAACAAGCAAACCGTATTGAGGATAAAATGAACAGATTTAAATTCACAAGGATTTAAAAGTAAAGACAATGTGACAAGATAAATAAAAAAAAAATTAAAGAGTATTTAAAATCCACTAATTTTGGGTTATTTAAATATTTTTATAATTTTGTAATTTTAAACAGTATATAGAAGGTTGATGAAGATCACATGAATAGAAAAGTCATAAAGAACAGTTACTGAAAACTGTTTTTAAAACAGCTTTATATGTTAAAAAAAAGGTAGCCTATTTATCTTTTCTATAACTACTGGACAGCTTAAATTTTATTTTTTTTTTTAATTTTTGAGTAATAAAATAAACACACTGACTATAGACATTACTTGGTGAAAATTTATCGTAAAATTGGAACCACAGATAAGGCTTATTATAAGATAACTCTTATTAATCAGTGTGTTTTCAGCTCCTGTGCACTACCACTGAAAAATATATGTTCAGAGAAGCCAAATCACTTGTAAAACTCACTTTCGAAAATATGATCATTTTACTATGGAAAAGGCCCTCAAAGAGTCCAAATAACTGAAAGCCAAACTAAACCTAGCTTATCTATCCCAGAGATAGATAGGCAATTGCAACTACGACATTATAAAGTGGTTTTAGATCACTAATAAAAGTATTTCTCAAATTTAACTTCTCTCCCTTTGGTAGTTTCCAGCTATATAAACTCTGTATGTTTAATAAGTTGAATGGAAAAGCCTTGTTAAATGCTATTCAGTTTTACAAAGCAGGAAAACTGTGAATATTTTTAAAAGGCTAACCTCACTAGCAGGAAAATACCTTCTAAAGGAAACAGAATCCACTTAGAAGACTTTTGAAAAAAATAGGAAAATAAATTTTTTATTCAGAAACATATATTTCCTAAAAATATGAACATATTTAAATGAGAAGTATGAGGCTAGAGGTTAATTTTCATACTCGGGTATTTAAGAATACCATATTATGAGTTATACTGATTTTAAATCACACATATCTTTTAAAGAAAAAACATTCTTTGAAAATTTGAATTTAAGTAGCTTTTACATTCACTGTTTCATATGTGCTTTCCAACACCATAAGGCAGCTATTTGATGTTAATTTTTGAGATGAAAACAATGGTTCTGAGACATAAACGACTTTGATCTGGTGAAGAGCAAAGTGTAAATTCAGTGCTCTCTGCCCCGTCACAATTCTGCAATGACAATTATCAGACTCCCCATTGTGTGCCCCCCCCATAAGCTGGCCCCTCTTCTTAACCACTGTATTTCATTCTGCTAGTGCCTTTCTAGGTGGTCTTTAAACCTGTAAGGTAGGAATGTCTGCGTAAGTAACAGTAAGAACAAAATACTGAAGATGGAAAGAGCTTCCAGATTTCCTAAGTAGATGTAGGAATGGAGACTAAGAAAAGGCAATGCTGTGTATATTTTTGCTACCAGCACAATTCTGATGATGGGTGAATACTTAAAATTTCACTTAGTTTATAACCTAGTTATAGAATAAGAAAAAAATAATATAGGAGTAGAAACTTTTGGACACTCATGTTGATACTCAGTCTTGTTTCTACTTCTTTTTAATGCGTAACTTTAGTCAAGTGACCCTTTCTCTTTTGTAAATATAATATAAAAAGTAAAAACTTCAAAGAAATACAAAGCTTCTCTATTAAAGAACTCTTTGTTTGCTTTTAGTTTTCTATTTCAGGCATAATAACCCACCCATCAAATCAATCAGCTTAGTCAGGAAAACACAGTAAAAGCTATTTTATGTCTCTTACCTGCATACATATGGTATGTAAGCCTCTCAATCAGCTTAATCACAGTCCCTGCTTTGATAATTGGAATCCCAGCCTTGGGCTGCACGTTCTCTTCAAACAGAATGTTCTCCTCGGAGTCTGGCTCTGCAAACCTGTACACATCAGCACTAGGCAGCCTCATCTGCTCCTCCTTCTCCTCCTGCAGCATTGTTACATCAAGCATTCTCTCCAGAGTACTCCGGTACTGCAAAGATATCAGTGCTGCCATCCAGTTGTTTTTCTCTTCAGCTGACTTGGCAGAAAATATAACACTATTTCCATCTTTTAGAATTATTTCAAAAGCATGTTTGTATTCACTGGTGTCATCTTTATCATTAATTTGTACCTTTCGCATAAAAAACTTTTCTTTAAGACGATATTCTGCATTGCTAGCACCAGGAAGTCTTGGCTGCCCATGATTTGATTTACAGCAAATCATTAGGCCATCGAAGAGAAATATGTGTCTCTCGTGTTTGGCTCCTACACGTGTAAGAGTTCCTTCCATTATGAACTCATTGCAACACTGTCCAATGTCTTTTCCCTCCCAACCGTCAATGTTCTTCTGAATCTCGCTCATTTTCTTGATTGCTAGTTGTTTCCCCTTCATCTGTTGGCTATAAAACCGACATGCAGACTCACTGGGGCAAAGGGAAAGACACTATCAGTACACAGAAAACACAATTTAGAGTTCATGCTGATAAAGTGACAGTGCAAAATATAACTTAAAACATTACTGACATGGTGTTTACTATTTTCCCAAATAATATATGGAATCATACAACTACGGAAATTAAAACAGCACAGAAAAATTTTCATAGTTATAAAAGTAACAGTGATATTCAACTATATAAATTCAGGTACAAAATTATTACTTTTACTTTGAATACTAAATATTTAGAAAGATAAACATAAAAAAGTAGCCCAGTACAGCCAAAAAAAAAAAAAAAAAAAATTAAGAGAGGAAAGTAAATTGTAAGTATTTTTAAATGCACAAGACCCAAAAATAAAAGCATATAGCACATGTTACAATTAGAAAAGTAGAAGATCTGCTAACTGAATTAATGTCTCGAGTTTTATAATTCCCAACCCAAAGAACATTTCTAATCTGACTTTGACATAACAATGACGCTGACATAAATCTACCCGGAACACTTTGCTCTGTCTCCTTCAGCTCACCAGCTGCTCCTCAGGAGGTCTTGTCTGGGAGTATACAGGGAAAATGCACAAATATGAAAGGTTTTTCAAACAATAACAAATTCTCCTGGCTTTGATGTCACTTCCTCTGAAAAACGAAGCTTGTCACTAACACCGTTTTCTTCATTGTTTACTCGAGGAGGGAGCTGAAGCCCCTGAGTCTGTAGCACAGCTTTCAGGGTAGAAAGGAAGAGGCTTTAAAGCGGGAATATTCACCTCAGTCTTCGTTTTGCAAGACTTTTGGAGCATATTTTTTCTATGCCGCTTTGGACATTAAGCAGGGCTGTTATGGCTTGTTTCACACACTCTTTGTCTTCTTGGTCTTCACTCTTTTCTTCTAACTGCTGTGAAAAGGTGGAACAATAACCACTTTATTCAAGGATAAAATTAATGCTGATTCAACTTTTCCTACTTGAGTAATTTTAAATGTTCTACAGCTGTATTTTTTTAGATTTATTTTATGTGTATGAGTGCTGCCTGCATGTATGAAAGTATACTCTGTGAGTGCTTCATGCCCACAAAGGTCAGAAGAGAATGTCAGATGCCCTAGAACTGGAGTTGCAAATGGTTATGACCCACTATGCGGGTGCTGGGAGTGGAACCTGGGTCCGGCAAGAGCAACAAGGGTTCTTAACAATTAAGCCACCTCTGCAGCCCCTAACTTTATTTTTTGAAGAGTTTTTCTGGGCTGAGGAGAAAGCCTGGTAGTGTTTACCTAACATCTATAAAGAAAGCCCCGAGTTCTATTCTCTGACACCATATAATCCAGGTATGAGTACCTGGTATGAGTACTCCCAGTACTCAGGAGGAAGAGGCGCCTCAGATACCTGAGACACTGTCTCTGAAAAACAAACAATCAAAAAGCAGCAGCTGTTGTTCTTGTAAGGTTTGGCAGTCCAGGCATGCATTCCAGCATGTGGGAGTCTGAGGTCTGAGCTCCATAACCAGAGCCTGTCTCAAAAAAATCTTACTTTTCTTTTTGTGTATTACTATCTGTATTAACATGTTAACAAGTTTTCCATGTGAAAAAGCATGAGGAGCCACTATTGAAAAAACATGTTGAACCTTGAAACAAGGAGTAACATGTATGCACCCAGCATTTCCTTTTCCTGAAAAGAGACAGCACAGAACTTGTAGCTCCCATAGGATTTAGCACGGCACTAGGCCCAGAGATACTCTTAAGTATCTCTGATACTGATAAGGGCTGGTAAGCATTTGTGAAGTCAAGCTGCTCTCAAGCCTGATGACCTCAGTTCAATCCTAAGCACCCACATGGAAGAAGGAGAAAACCGACTCCCTCAGGTTGTTCTCAAACTGCCAAAAACATGTGGGCTCCCATCCTCTGCTTACTCCTCCCTAAATAAATAAATGTAAAACAAAGAGAAGTCTTTAAAAATGTAAAGTCCAGAAACATTCAAGTCAAGGGCATACAGAGCATATTTGACAATAGGAAGAAAATTGCTCCCTCTGTATTTTGTCCTGATTATAGATACAGTTTTAATTGTATGCCTGGGTAGGTGTGGACTTGTGCACGTGAGTGCAGTGTCCTCAGAGGTCAGATGAGAGCGTTGGGAGTTACAGGTATCTCTGAACCACCATACAGGGATGCTGAGAACTAAACTCTTGTCTTCTGGAAGAGCGCTCCTGTCTTTGTTTTTGTTTTGTTCTGTTTTGTTTAACCAACTCAGCAAATATACCTAATGTGCAAGATTCTAATATCAAGCCTATACAAAAAAAAAAAAAAAAAAAAATGCTTAGAGATGCACTGATTTTCTATTTAAAAAATGTTTCATGCTTCAGAGTCTTAGGGTTTCTCTGTATAGCCCTGGCTGACCCAGACTCACTTTATAGACCAGGCTGGCCTCGAACTCATAGAGATTCACCTGCTTCTGCCTCCCCGAATGCTGGAGTTACAAGTGTGTGCCACCATGCCCTGCTCACTGTTAGTATTTTTAAAAGCACAAACCCAAATTTTTTTTCCCTTTTTCTTCCTTTCTTTCTTCTGAGACAGGGACCTTGAGTGCCTTTGTGTGGCCTTGAACTCTCACCTGTCTCCCCTAAAGGTTGGGATTACAGGTTTGTGTCACCATGTCTAGTTTATACAGTGCTGGGGGTGGAACCCAGGGCTAGAAAAGCCCTCTACCAGCATAGGTACAGCCCAGCCCCAAAGCTTTTGAACCCTTTACATTTTCTGACGAAATATATTTAAATGTTCTTATTTCCTTCATAGCAAACAGGCAAGCATCCAACATTTCAGTATAACTGTGCTCTTTTTTTTAGACAAGAGTCTCACTATGTAGACCAGGGTAGCCTCAAACTCAGAGTTTGACCTGCCTGTCTTCCATGTGCTGGGATAAGGTGTGTGGTCATCACACACAACTAATAAAGACCTTTCTGAATGTGCATTTTCTTTTTATTGAAGTTGATTTAAACTGGAAAGTAATGCAAAATAATTTAATTATCCTTAAAGAGGTGGCTTATTCCTGCCACAGAAACAAAGCAGTAGCAATCATGTAAATGATGGCAAAGAAGCATTCTCATTCTTTTCCATAAGTGACCGTTCCTAGCAGTGCACACTGAACCTATCAAGCGTATTCTACTGAGGTTACACTGCATAGACACTGCCCCTCCTCTAAGGACTCATCCTAAAGCATAATAAATGTGTATTCCTATACAGACGACAAAATTTGCTTTTCACAGGAAAGGAGCTACTCAAACCCTTGATTACTTTTTTGGTTCCCTAGACATAAGTAGTGGGGAAGCCAGGTGTGGTGGCTCCTAATTAATCCAGCACTTGAGAGTCTCAGGCAGAAAGATAAGTTTTAAGGCTAGCTGGGCAACAAGGTAAACTTCACGCCAGTGTGCACTGAAGAGAAGGATTTTCCCTGACCCCGACAAACAGAAAGAAGCAAAGCCAAGGAATGGTATTCTACATGTACAATGTACATGTTCAGAGAAACTCCACGGAAATTTTACAAGACAGATGATATAAGTACTACAAAGAAAAATGGTATTCAAGGAAGTATTTTGAAGAATAAAACTTATGAACTGCATATGGTATTTAATTTAATGTTAAGGTTCCTGGTTTTTGTGGGACTAGGGACTGAGCCCAGGTTTTTGTTCACAGTAGGCGGACATTCCACTACTCAGTTACAGCCATTTCCCCACCTGCAAGCTGTATAATTTTATGGGTTCGATTTAATCAGTAAACATAGAATAGTTAGAATGGCTTCCCTTTAAAAAAAAAAAAAAAAAAAAAAAAAAAGCATACAAAATAATGATTTTCTTTCTAGAAAGTGCTTTTCCCCAACATAATATAAAATAAATACCATTTACTAAATGAACGGGGTTGGGGATTTAGCTCAGTGGTAGAGCGCTTGCCTAGCAAGCGCAAGGCCCTGGGTTCGGTCCTCAGCTCTGGAAAAAAAAAAAAAAAAAAACAAAAAAAAAAAAAAAAAAAAAAAAAAAAAAAAAAAAAAAAAAAAAAAAAAAAAAAAAAAAAAAAAAAAAAAAAAAAAAAAAAAAAAAAAAAAAAAGACAAAAACAAAAAACAAAGTAAGAACATGCAGGCAAGACCAAACCTAAGAGTCATGACTGTCAGTTCAAAGACCTTTTCACTATGTACATAGTTAACTCAGAGGAAATGAAAGACCTATTTAGAAATATTTAGAAGTAAGGTCTTTGCAGGTTTAATCAAGTGAAATCATGCTAGACTGTGAACCCGAGACCCACTAACCTAGCGACTGTGCGAAAAAGGAAAGGGCGGGCTGGATGCCGACATAGAGAGTGGGAAGTGGTGCACCTGATGAAGGTGGAGGCGAAGCCCAGAGGGAGGCTCTCTGTGAAGCCAAGGAGAGCCTGGAGGCTGCAGCCCCCTCAGGGCCAAGCAAGCACTCTTTCCGAGACCCTTACACATGCAGGCTTTGTCGACACCTGAGCTCTGCCTCTAGAGCGAAAAGAATAAACTACTATTGCTTTTCAGCCACTAAGTTTATACTCTGGCATAGCAGCTTTAGAAAATATTAATATATACATATTACATACATAAATATGTGTGTAATACAATTTTTTTTTTTAATGAAAGAAACCTACTTTCCCTTAAGTTACATGGACCCAGCATTCTGCAAAGAGAATGGGGGTAATTCTCCAGGATATTAACTGAAGTTGTTTAACATTTTGGTTGAACTGATTCATTAATACTCAGAATCTTGGCCACTATATCTAGTCCTGAGAATCAGTCCAGATTTATTTAATAAAGCCAACAAAATCTCATATAGAAACATTACATTATGGGAGCAAATGATTTTTTTTCAAACGTGCACAAGAAGCTGGGCATGGTAGTGTATGCCTGTGATCCAATCCCAGCACTCGGGAGGGGAGGGAGAGACAGGCAGAGCTCTGTGAGTTCGAGGCCAGCCTGGTCTACAATGTGAGTCCAAAAAAACTTGGGTCCTTAAGAGATTAAGAGAACAGTACATACTCTTAATCACTCAGTCATCTCTCCGACCTTAATGTTTGCTAATTTTAATACTACTCAATTAAAAAAAATTATTTTCACAAAATTAGACAGTCCTTAGACCCTTCGAATAATTATTAGAAACATTAAAGTTTATATTTTATGTAATGAAAAAACTTCCTTGTGCACTTTTTTTTTTTTGACTCCCAGAACCAACACCAGCTGCTCACAATTGCCTGTGACTGCAGTTCCAAATGGTTTAACAATTCTAGCTTGAGGGTACCTGCACTCACAGCGTGCGAGCACACACACACAGATGTGCACACATGATCAAAAATAAAATCTTAATAAAAACGTTTGTTTGTTTGTTTTAGAGACAAGGTTTCTCTATATAGCCTTGGCTGTCCTGGACTTACTTTGTAGACAGGCTGGCCTTGAGCTCACAGAGATCTGCCTGCCTCTGCCTCCCAGAGTGCTGGATCATGGGAGTGCACCACCACTCCCAGCTTATAATAAAAATTTTTAATTGAAAAAAATATAGGCTGGAGAGATGGCTCAGAGGTTAAGAGCACTGTCTGTTCTTCCAGAGGTCCTGAGTTCAATTCCCAGCAACTACATGGTGGCTCATAACCATCTATGAGATCTGGTGCCCTCCTCTGGTGTGTATGCATACATGCAGGCAGAACACTGTATAAATAATAAAGAGTTATGAACTGTTGGGCATGGTGATGTACACTTAAAAAAAGAAAAAAAATTACTTTTTAATTTGACAAGTAAAATTTGTATATATTTATGGTATATAACATGGTACTTGATAAAACAAGATATTTAATAATATGTGCTGCCAAATATTTCTCAGATGTAAATTCTTAAAACCCTCGCTCAGCAATATTCTAAACTATACAATATTATTATTTGCTGTACTTGCCATAATATATACACATGTATGTGTGTATATATGTATGTATGCATGTGTATGTATATATATGGGTTGGGTTTTTTTTTTCCATTTTGAGTTAAGATCTTACTCTGTAGCTAAGGCTGGCCTTGAGTCTTTGTTCTGGGCCTGGGATGCTGGAAGCATGTTCTATACTAGACTGAAATAGATCTCTTGAATTTATTCCTTCTGTTATGAGAAAAAGACCCAGTCCAGTGAGGGATTCACACAGACACTCAGACTGGCAGGAGAATTCTCTGCTAATGTGGGACTGGCCCTAGCTAACGCTTAAGAGGGTCTAGCCTCAATTAACAATTTCCACTTGGCTTTTCCAGTGGGCTGTAATGTAATCTTACCATGTATTCATCCAGAGGTGGCCTTAAGATCCCCACCCACAAGCCACATTTTCTGAGTGACAGGAGTCACAGTGTCAGTCCACTGTAAGCAAGTAAGACCTTAACAGCTGGCAATCAAGGTCATTTTTCTTCAAGGAGTGTGACAAATACTCCATTTAAAGAGCAAATTTACAAAAAAAAGCAACACTTTAGCAAACTTAAATGCTAATGAAATCAGAAGTCTATTTCCTTTATCTACCTACATTATCTTGGCAACATGTGTTAGTATCCTATCTAAAAGTTAGGCAGAGGCCTTCAGCTCAACCCCCACTTCTATGTGATTTAAATTTTTCTGAATAAGCTTATTAAATTTATTTTAACATTTAATATTAAATAATTAACAATTAATATGTAATATTCCAATTAACACTAAAATTTAATACTTTCCTTCGTCACTTCTAACTGAATTTTTGAATCCACTGACAAATCTCTTCCTCCCAACCTCTAGGAATCATTTAGTTTGACAGTATCATGCAATTAACAGCAAAATTCTGTTCTATAAATTTGTAAAGTTTAAGACATTCTAAGTTCCCCAAATAAACATGTATACATAAAATCTAAAATTAAAATTCTTTTAAAATACAACACATTGGTAGGAATTCTAAGAAAATTTATATTTTATTACTCATTATTTAATAAGCATTTAATAAATGATTCAAATGATTTAAATGCCAAGTGCTATGCTAGCCATGAAAATTCAAAGGCGTATATAGGCTTTGCTCTTTTTTTCTCAGGGAACATACTGTCTGAAGAAAGACAGACAATAAAAATGTGACAAGTTCTACAAAGAGGTTTGAAGAGAATAAGAAGCTTAATGGACAGATAAGCCTATGAAGCAAAGGGATATTTGATAGGAAACCAGTGTTTGAACAAACTCCCCATAAAAAAGGAGGCTAGAGAAAGGAACCCCACCAAGCCAATGGGAGGAAGAAGAAACAGACCCCCCTGCAATGAACTGGCATATCCAGGGCTGCTGAAGCTCAGGGACAGGACTAACTACCGAGATGAAATTAAAGACAGCAGCAGGGAAGCTCAAGAATTCACACTTCCTGTTGCAGGAGCCAGGGCACCAACTGTACCTTTCAATCTGAGAGTTATAGGAAGTACAAAGACCAAATAAGGAAGGTGGTGTTGTGTCTAGACATGGAATATGACGGTGATGTCCTTACAAGTGGACACATGTGGCTGAATCATTAGCCACATCGTTTAGCATCGTTTCTAAATGTTAAATCACGAAGAGCTGCCAGTAAGGTAGAGAGAAGAATCAAAGATGATGTGATGGGTGGGGTGCAAGCTGGCCAACAGTGACAGTGAATACAGAAAAGAAGCAGAGATCTGGCAGGCAGAGAGTGGGGCATGTGGTCAATGAAGACTGTTAATGACAATAAGAAACATCTCTAGTGATGAAGACACTCAAGTGTTTATGTTCATTACCATTCATGAAGTAACCTTTGCAAATACACTGTTTTAGGCTGATGGTACTAACCAGTGAAATAAGCATTCTGTAATCAAGGAAACCAATAAAGTAAAGTGCCTTTTCTCTAGCCACACTGTTAGCAGATACAGACTTCAGTATCTACAGAACTCCAAACCCTGCTCTACAAACAGATTATGGTTTGTAACCTAGGTTTGTAAGTTTTGATTTCAGGACAGCCAGGGCTACACAGACCTTGCCTTTAAAAAATAAACAAATCAGGCAGCTGTAATGTCAGCATTGGTGAGGTGGAGACAGGCAGACTCATAAAAATGGCTGGCCAGCAATTCTAGCTGAATTGGCGAGTTCTAGGTTCAATAAGAGACCCTGTCAGAGCCACAGAAGTAAAGTGGTAAGGTGGTAAGGCCCTGACAAAGACACCCAATGATGACTTCCCTCACACACACATAAATATGTGTCACCTATCCACACACATACAATAATACACTTTGAAAATTCTGCTCAATGAAAATAAGCTGAACAGCATACCAACAAATACAAATTCAAGTACAAGTCAGACTGGCAAGAGGACTTGATAGATAGAAGAGTTTAAGTTTGATCCCTAGGAGCCACAAATGATGGCAGGAGGGAACCAACTTTGCAAGTTGTGTGTACATGTACTTGTGTATAAACATGCAAAATAAAAATGCATGTAGTGCTTTAATGCTAAAAGACTCCAGAAAGAAAAAAACTCAGTCTGTGTATTAGTTTCCTGTTCCATGCACTATCCATACCTTATACTATTCACTTTGCAGTGTAATTTAAGTCATAATATGAATCAGGGATATACATGCAGAAGATAAATGTTAAGTCCTAAAGTCCTGAAGGATGTTCTTAAATTTTTATTACCAAGCTATAATTTTTGGAAATCCTAATTATCTGTATAATAAAATCACCCCCCACCTCAAGTCAAAGTCTCATATACTGTTGCCCAGACTGGCTTAGAACACTCTGTGTAGCTGTGTCTGGCCTCAAATTCAGTCATCCACCTGCCTCAGTTTCTCAAGTGCTGGTATTGTAGGTTTGATCCCTCATACCCAGATTATTTTAAATAGTATTCTCTTTAAAAAAAAAAAAAAAAAAAGATCTAGAGTGAGAGAGAGAGCAAATTCGCGTGCATGTGCGTGTGCAGGTATGGAGGCAGGTGAGAAGGGCAGTTTCCAGAAGTCAGTTCTCTCCTTCCACCATGTGATCCAGGAGTCAACCTCCAGTAATCAGGCTTGGGGGCAAGTATGAACTCTGTGCCCCCAGTGGGCTGAATTCAGGACAGCTCCAAGTTAAGAGCAACTCCAAGAAAGAGCAACTATACCCAACTAACCTTTTCCTTTAAAAAACTATTTTGAATTATGTGTCTGTTTGTAGGCCATGTGTATAGGGACCCACAGGGGGCAGAGGAAGACACTGGATATCCTGGAAGCTGGAGTTACAGGTGGTTTGTTAGCTGCCCAGCGTGCGTGCTAGAAACTGGACTCAGGGTCTCTAAAGAGCAGCAAGTGAGCCAGCTGTGGTGGTGCATGTCTATAATCCCAGCACTCTGGGAGACAGAGGCAAGTGGGTCACTGTGAGTTCAGGCCAGTCTGGTCTACAAAGTGAGTCCAGGACAACCAAGGCTACACAGAGAAATCCTGTCTAAAAAAAAAAAAAAAAAATCTTCCATCCCTTAAGTTTCCTTTGTGTACGTGTGTGTGTGTGTGTGTGTGTGTGTGTGTGTGTATGTATGAGCATTCATGTACATGAGGTCAAAAACAACTTTGTGGTAGCAGTTCTCTCTTTCCACCTTGATGTGAGCTCCAGGGATCAAATTCCAGTTGTGATGCTTGTGTGATAACTGCCTCCCACAGTGCCACTTTGCCAGCCTTTAATTTTTATTATTATGCTGCTCGGATTTTATAGCCTTTCAAATCCTCATCAAAGCTTCTTATTTTTACTTATAAATTAATAATTTTTAAAGTTTTATATAGCTACTTATATAAAATTTCATTACTTAATATTTTGAATGATAATCAAACGGAGAGTTTTTACTAGTATACAAATTCACTGCTTCTACAATAGTGAGTTTAACAGACACGATTGCAAAGCTGAACTATGAAAATTTATTGAACAGTCTTTATTACTTTAGCTGTATTTTCATATTGGCCCCTGATGAGAGTCCCAGCAAATATTAAGGTCCTCAAATGGAGACTCGGATATATATATTTCAAAAATTACCCATTTAAGCGAAAAGGCCACTTGATTAAAAATAAAATTTGGCAATTGCTTTACAGTTTGGTAGTGAAGTCAGAGAAAGCATGGTATTCTTTGGAGATTTACTTAAAATTGCTTCTCGGCTGCACAAAGAAAATGAACACACACTAAAGTATGTGGAGACTCACATAACAAGTGAAGGGGCAGCAATGTCACCTGAACGCATGTCTCCTTACCTTCAGAAGTTCAAAGTAATGCAGACAGTGGTACACAGGGGCGAGCAGCAGCCGGGGCAACACATACTGAACAGCTTCTTTGAAGCCTTCGCCTATTGACTAAAAAAGGAAGTGATTTAAATTTTAGTTTACTTCTCTGACATCATGCAATTTGATTTAACAGTCACTGTACCTGCAAATAAAGTGCTGCCCCAGGCTTTGATAACTGACTAAGGAAGCGGTCATGGAATCCAGGCCGTAAAATGTCCCGAGCATATGATTCATATGGGTCAAATGCCAGTTCCTTAAGAAATAAAGACAATAAAGTAAAAATAATTATAAGTGATCCTGCTCCAAGGTAAAATATAAACAACCTACCACACAGAATATTAAATTACAAACATTTATCTACAGAAACATACTCCTTTTAAAGACTCCAAATGAAAACTGAGTGGTTATAATTTTAATAGGATAAATCTAATATTCTCAAGTGAAAGAATGCATTAGCTCTTCCTTCTGAGTAACAGGAAGGTATGCACTGGTGCTTCCCTGCTGAGGGTTCCAGGGGAGCTAGCTGTCCTTGGAGTGGGCACACTTGGCTCTAGAGAACAGCACAGCTTCACCTGGACAGCAGATGGTAGGTGTGTATAACTAGGTACATAAGACATGACCATTTAGAACACTGACGTTAACGGGTCTGGAGAGATGGTTCAGCACTTAAGGAAGAGCACTGGCTGTTATTCTAGCACCCACATGGCAGCTCAAAACTATCTCTAATTCCAGTTCCAGGGGACCCACCCCAGCATGCATGGATATGGTGCATGTATCTGTGCACACATGCAACACACCCATACACATAAAAAGTAAGTCTTTAAAAAAAAAGCATACTGATGTTAGATATTTATTTTCTCAGATATAGTGGGAGGGAGCTGGAGAAATGGCACAGCAGCTAAGAACACTTGTCGGTTCTTGCAGAAGAACCCAGGCTTGGTTCCCAGCACCCACAGTGGCTTATAACCATCCGTAAGTCTAGCTGCAGGAGATCTGATGCCCTCTTCTGGCTCCCAGGAGCACCAGGAGCATGTGTGGCTGGTAAAAAAATATGTAAAAAATATTTAAATAAGTAAAAAAATATTTTTAGTGTTGGACATTTACTTTTGTAAATCAGAAGTAACAGTTTCTAACATCTAAAATTGTTTTCATAAAACTTAATCCAAACTGCAAAAAAAAATACCATCATTAATATCACCAGTCATCATTAACATCTCATAGCTAGATCTAAAAGCGTACTGATGATTCCTGAGGCAATACAGAATAGGTGTGTTGATTTTAGCATGAGAATAGGACCTTTCCCATCTTCAATCCAGTGCCTTATTCCATTTATAAAACTGTTAGGAGAAATAGAGGCAGCCCAGTGAGTAAAGACACCTGTTGACAAGCCTGACAACCTTAGTTCAATTCCTAGGACCCACAGATTGGAAGAATAGAACAGACTTACACAAACTGTCCTCTGACCTTTAGTACATGTGAAACACATAAATACATATGCGCGCGTGCGCGCGCGCACACACACACACACAGCTTCAGAATCCAGCAAGTATTCATATCTATGAAAGCTAATTCTGGAAAGAGAGAGAAGTGGAAGAATGTACTGACAAAGAATAAGACAAATAATTTTATATATAATACGAATTCTGTATTAATCACCTTTAATGTTGTTTTTTAAACTACTTCTTAAGAAAGAGCTAGTAGAACACCAGGTCTGAACACTTGAGGCTGGAGCTCGGGACACCATGAGGAACAATGTGGCAGGTAACGTCCAAGCCACCCTGCTTCCTTAATACCCTGGTTCAGCTGATTTAATTATTAATTTGTTCTGTCTCTACTGATTAATGCTGTCTGTGCAACATGCCAAGATCGTAATTCCACTCTGTTTCACTGTCTTGTCTACACTGGTAGTAACTCTGATATTATTATTTAATAAATCTAAATATGTGATAAAGCAAGTCTCAATCTGCTATTCCTCTGGACAATTCTATCTCTTCTCTTCTGGGTGGGCAGATAGAATCTCCTTGTGTGCTAGCACAGACTATCCTAGAACTTGCAACACAACCTAGGCTTCAGCACTAGAGTTATAGGCAGACCACACTTCATTTCACACATTAAGGATCAGCTTGATGTATCAGCTACTAACAATGTAATGGGGATGACTAACAATGTAATATTGAGTTTTTTCCAGCCATAGAAACAGTACTCAGGAGCATTTACTTGTATACTCCATATGAACCTAAATATTTTACATTTTTCTTAACAAAGATCTTAGATACCTTGTTAGTATAATAATAATAATAATAATAATAATAATAATAAATTATTATATAATAATAATAATTATTATTATACAGGTGTGCACAGGTCAGAAGGTAACTTTTGGGTTCCATTCTCTTTCTGCCCCAAGTTCTAGGGGTCGAAATCTAGGGCTGGGATGTACCCAGGGACCATTCTTAGGCTGTCAAGACTGCAGTTGTATGGGTCAGGCTGTCTCACCTGCCCTACTTTCTTACGGAGTACTTCTACCACATGGAACCTTTTGCTTTTAATGCTCTATATTCTGGCATGCGTAACAGCCAGCATATATAACATGTATAACAGATGCTAATCTTTTCTCTAAGACACTGCAGTGTACTTCAATAATTTTTTAGCATATTTTTCTTGTATTTGCTAAATAAATATTGACTACAAATAAGACAACCCTGTCTTATTCTGTTCCATTTTTGTCCTTTTATACTAGGGACAGTTCTGAATTCTCCTGGAGGTTCCTACCCACATTATTGTTTTTGTCTGTCTGGTTAGTCATTTGTCAACAAGTCAAATAGGAAGAGGGAACCTCAACTGAGAAAAATAACCCCAAATGATTGGGCTGGATGGATGATTGATGTTGAAGGTCCAAGCCCACTGTGGGTGGTGCCATCGCTGGACACGGCTTCTGGGTTATGTATGAAAGCAAGATGAGCAAGCCAGTAACCAGCATTCCTTTATAGTCTCTTCCAGTTCCTGCTCTGGGTTCCTGCTTTGGCTTTCCCTGATGATAGATTATAACCTGTCAGCCAAATAAACCTTTTTGTCTCCAAGTAGCTCTTGGTCATGGTGTTTTAGCACAGCAATAGATAACTCACACAGCTTTAGCATGACACCCAACTTGCTCTGAGAATGACACTGACCTTCTGATACTTCCTGCATCCACCTCCCTGTTACTGAGATCACAGGGTAACAAGGTATGTACCACCATGCCCAGATCATATGGCCCTGGGGACTGAACCAAGGGCCTCACATGTGCTGGGGAGACTTTCCGAACAGGGCGACATCCCCAGTTCATCTCTCCTGTCTTTTCCCACAAGCTCAGAGTTAGAATAAAAGAATGGCTAAGCAATAAGAGTGAAAAACTCCAAAATGCCTCCCAGTGAATACTTAGTAAAACTAACTCAAGGTTAGCATTTGAATAGTCATGCTTACCAGACTTCTCATAGTATCTGAACTATCTGGGCCATGGACCTGAGCTTTCTAGCCACTTTATTGCTTTAGTTCTAAAGACTAATGTGGCTATCACACACTGATTATTTTACTTGTAAAGGGAATTAGCCACATATCTAAGAAAGTTACCTTACTCTGTACAAAAAAATACTTGACTGTTGCTAATGTATAATCCTTTATCAACGTATAGAGAGAAGCAGAATATTAGTAACTTGCCTGGAGCCACACAAGTAACAAACAGCAGTGCTCGTGCAGTAAGCTCTAAGTAGTGAGGCCCTACAGCCAAGCTTTTCACTGACTCACTTTGAGTCTTTCACAGAAAGACCCGGCAAGCCAGTGAGTCAGTGAAAAGCTTGGCTGTAGTGTTTGATAACTTTTTCTCTGTTTGAAAACAATAATAAATGTTGACAGTGACTACAAGAAAGGAGAAATAATGCATTTATCAGTTAACTACTTGTCACTTACTAGAAATGGGAATTATGAACCCCATTTTATTGCAAATGTAGACTTATACACAGACTCCTTTTGCTATATAATTGTCATACTTACTTCTGCTAAGTCTTCAAAACAGCTTCCTACTAATGGGTGGGGACTGCCTTCATCTGTCATTTCTACAGTGTCTTCTATATGGCCCAGTAACTTTACACTAAGTTCATGTATATCTACTATACGACTAAATATATTTTCTACATCCTGTGGAGACAAGGGAAAGAAATATTAATTCAGTCATTTTGAATAAGAAGATATCTTTTTAGAGGAATTTTAATGGCTTATAATAAAATACTTCAAAATTTCTTTTTTAGTGATATACAATTAAATATATTTCTCTGCCAATCATTTTGTTTTAGAACATCTTCATACTCTTTTTACAAATCTTCAATACAGAGTTTAACAGAGGTCAATAGTATCTTGCTGTGTCTGCATTAAATCTGTGGTGATACAACATTTCGGTTGAAGTATATGAAAAATACTATAGTTTTATCCAGATACATAATTTTACCCAGACATGTAATGGAAAAATGAAGGAATGTTTGAATAGTCTACTCAAAACACTGAAATTCTTTTGTTTTCTGTGTAACATCCATATAATTCTTCTATTGAGATGTAATTAATGTATCATAAAATAACTGGTTTTCTGGGAGTGAGGATGGTGAGAGTTAATGTGGACAGGATATAAAGAAATTGTCTAATGCTGGGTGGTGGTGGCGCCTGCCTTTAATCCTAGTGCTCAGGTAGGCAGGCGGATCTCTGAGTTCGAGGCCAGCCTGGTCTACAAAGTGAATTCCAGGATAGCCACAGCCATACAGAGAAAACTTGTCTCAAAAAAAAAAAAAAAACCCAAAACATAAAGAAAAAAGATAAAAGAAAAAAAGAAATTGTCTTGTATAAGAAAGTATTTTGTATCTTGACAATGGCAGGGTTAAATAAGGAGAAATGAATGCATAAACTCTCACCAAAAGGTATATTTAACGTAGGTATATCTTTCTCTGTGTGGACCATATTAGTATACTATAAAATGCATTTACTACTCAGTGGCTTTCAGCATACTTAGACTAAGGTCTTCACCGCAAAGGACAACCTAAACTCATTAACAAGAGTAATTTTCCATTCTGTTCATTCACAGTCTCTGCAGCCACTGTTCTACTCTCAGTCTCTGTGCATCTGCCTATTCTGAACATTCTATACAAACGTGAAATATTATTACACTGACACTAATAAATTGGCCATTTCATACAGGATGTAACATAGTCTCTGAGACCATATAATTTTATACTGTTGTATTAAAATCCGCTGATTACTATTTTAGCAGTGATTTTTATTTCTGTCAATTTTGAGATATGGTTTGTATGCAGTGAGATATACCTACTTGAAATGTATTTTTTTTTTTTTTTGGTGAGGTTGTATGCAGTTATTCCCCTTTTACACCTCAACATAGCCACTATCCACAACATTTTCTTGTCTTAAAAAGTTTCCTTATGTTAAAAAAAAAAAAAAAAGTTTCCTTATGGGAGCTGGAGAGATGATGCAGCAGTTAACAGCACTGACTGCTCTCCCAGAGGACCAGGATTCAGGTCCCAGAACCTGCACAGCAGCTCACAATCAGCTATAACTCTAGCCCAAGGAGAGCCAGTGCCCTCTTCTGGCCTTCACAGGAAAACAATCACACATAATATAAAATAAAAATATATTTAAAAAAAAAAGTTCCATTATGTCTCATTTGTATCACCTCTCACCATCCTCACTGCCAGAAAACAGTGTTCTACTTCCTGTGACTAGACAGTTATTTTTTCCAGAATATTTGGTAAGTGGAAACAAGTCTTATGGGTCCAGCTTCTCTGCTCATTTTTCCGGAAATTAAGCTGTGTGAGTGTATGCATAAGTACCTCATTCTTTATTCTTGGTGAGTAGCCATCCACTGTATGAGCAAATCACAATTTCTCTATCTCTTCACCTTTGGTAGGCACTGAATTATTTCTAGTTTTGAACTATAAAATAAAGCTGCTATTTTGGTATGGACTTGTTTTTGTTTCTTCTAAGCAAAATACTAATAGAATTGTCATAAAATATAGTAGCGTATTACAAAAAGTCAATTTTAAATCCTTACTAGTTTATATTTCACAAGTAACATGGAAGTTTTACAAAGCCATGAGCAGTCATTCTTCACTCTTCTCAGTATCTGATTCTTTAAGTCTTTCTAATAAGTGTGCAGAAGTATCTCACTATGCTTTTGGTTTTTATTTTTCTGATGATACTGAACACCATTTAGCAACTTTTGGTTGTTGATTTTTGTCTAAGACATCTTTATCTCTCCTTCACATTTTCTTAAAAGCAAATTTAATGAAACAGTTTAAATGCTGTGCATTTCATACACCTAACTCAATAAATAGGGCTTAGCATATTTACAAACATATAAAATCCACTTAATTTTTGTAGTGGTGGAAGTTGAACCTAGGGTAGGGTATCATATGCAGAGTAGACAAGCGCTCTGCCACTGGGCTGCCCTCAGCCCCTGCTCCTTTGCCATTTATTCGTCACTCATTGGTGAAAGCTGAGCTCCAAAGCCCACTCCTGTGTCCTCCTCAGGAAGCACTTTATGGTGAGTGAGGTTTGGGGCACTATCTCTTGTCCAAATTTTAGTTTCTTCATGCTCCCAGTAATACCGCTGGTCCAGTTCTATTATGACGCTCACCACACTGGACTACATTTATGTTTCTAGCTCCGCCCTGACTAGAGAGGACTCATCTCAATATGCTGTCCAACAGTACAGATGCTGCTTATAAGTATTAGCTAAATGAGTCAACTGAATCAAAAAGATCTTCCACTTAAACAAGAGGCTTTATTCCTTGAAATAAATGGATTCTTATGTGAATTCATTTTCACTTACATAATTAGTCTAGTTTAGATTTTCTCTTTCAATTTCTGATGTTTAATCTCTTGAAACTGCTGTAGCACTTTATTTGTGATCATGAATAAGTCCCACAACTTTAAAAAAATTGACAAATTAAAAGTTATGAATTATGTAAGTTTAAATTTGAAGTAAAATGTAACAACACATACAAAAATAGTAGAAATATACTTACATAAGATGAAAACAATTTGGAATTAGAGACAAAGGGTTCTCGAAAAACTTTTATAATTAGATTTAATTCTCTTATATATTGTCGAATTTCTGCCATGAATGCTTTTACCAAATCATAATAAGTTTGCTCTCCTGAGGTGGAAGGCTCTTCATCAGTTAAAGATAAGATATTTATATCTTCTACATCTTGATGAAACATATCCATCAATACCTATGTAGTTAGAGATTTAAAAAAAAAAAGTGTGAAATAATAATGTAGTCTAATGTGAAAGTTAAATGTTCTAGGAATTCATTCTTTTCCTTCATGAGGGGGCATACACATGCCATTGTGTGTGTGTATGGGGGGGGGGGAATCAGAAGACAAAGTGTCCCTAAGAATTCTTTGTACTGGGCTAGAAAGAAGAGATGGCTCAGAGGTTAAGAGCAATTGGTGCTCTTCTGGAGGACCTTGGCTCCATTCCTAGCACCCACATGGTGGCTCACATCTTCTTTAACTCCACTTCCAGGGAATTCAATGCCTTCTTCTGGCCTCCACAGCAACCGGGCATGAACATATTGACAGACATATATGCAGGTAAAACACCCATACACATTAAAAAAAACAATTTTCTTCAAAAAGTTTACCACTATTCCTCTTATTGAAACTCATCCTTCCCCTTCTTGTGGACTTCTCAAGTGTCACTATAATATATTTTACGGTAGGCTACAATATAAGTCACCTTTCAACAACTTTGGAGCCTAGTTTTTTTAAAAATTTTTAAGCTTTAGAAACATGGTCTCATATAACCAAAGCTGGCAACAAGTTCACTAAGTTAGCCTTACATTTTTGATCCTTCTGTCTCCATAGGTGAGTGCTGAGATGACAAACAAGCACATCATGTTCAGTTTATGAAGTACTGGGAAACAAACCCAGGACTTTATACATTCTAGGCATGACTTTACCAATTAAATATATCCCAGCCCCTTTTAAAACATGTTTTTCTGCATCTCATTTCTGTATGAGCATATAACAGATAACTCAAAAATATTTTACTCGTATGATTCATTAAAAAGAAGCAAGGAGAAGGGCTAGATAGAGAGCTGTGCGGTTAAGAACACCGACTGCCTTCAGTTCCCACCAACCAGTTCAGAACTGGCTTATCTCAGGGGCTCTGAGGCCTCTTCTAGGTTTGCAGACAGCTGTGCTCTTGTGCCCAGAAACTGCTCCCCATGTGCCACATACATAAACATATAAAAATGCATCTTTTTTTTAAAGTTTTGTTTTATTTTGTTTTTTAAGTAGCAAGTGGGCTGAAGAGGTCAATCAGCCATTAAAGGCACTTACTGCTCTCACGGAGCACCTGAGTTCAGTTCCCAGAATCATAAACCATCTGTAACTCCATTTCCAGGAGCCCTAATCCCAACTCTGGCTTCTCTGAATCCCTGCATGTACATTACACACATAAACTAATGTAAGTGCACACATACACATTTAAAACAAAGTAGTAAACATTTTGTATTTTATTACCAGTTGAAATCAGGAATACCAAATTTTCATCTCCATTTAAAAATATCAAAACACTTGTAATTCTTCAAACTAGGTCATTTCTTTCACTCTAGATTATTCTATGAGAATAAACACTAACCAGATTCAGAAACCAGAAAGGCCAGAGCATGAGGAAAGTGGAGTAGAATGCCATCAGAAAAGATCTTCTTCCCTGCACAGCCATTTAAATACCCCCTACCCTCCCCCTACCCTCCCCTCCACCCTCCCCCCTACCCTCCCCCCTACCTTCCTATACCATAAACAACCTGGGTGCACTGCTATGAGACTATTGGGACTCCCCCAGCACAGTGCAGTGCACAACTCTATTCTTTCTGAGAAGTACATTAGCCTCTAATAAACCATAAGTAAAGTTTATAAATAGAACACACAGAAGCTGATTCTCCTACCTTATCAGCACACATTGCCACTTTAATGTCTTGTTTTGTAATTTCATAATGCCGTATATTTCTTACATAATTCCCCACCAGTTTTAAAATATCTGCAGAAATGTATTCTAATACTGCTACTATGTAAACAGAAACCTGGTGGTCAATTTTATAACCTAGGACCTCCTGAAAAATTAAAAGGAAAGCATGTTTAAACATCATATACAGTAAATTTAATACACCAATTAAAAAATAAAAAACATACAGCTTGGCTTAACTTTTACTGAAGCCTGTCATTACCAACATTTAATAATTTGTTTCACTGGTTCAATCATGAGAAATATATATAGGCATGCCTATATATTTAAAATTCTTTCCATCTCTCTCTCAGAAAAAGGAAGCAGAACTGTCCCCGATCCTACACAGTATTGGAACAGTGCCCATTACTCAGTAAGGCCCTAAGCCACAGAGTCTAAGTTTGGTGAGGGAGCAAATGGTCTCTTACCAACCAGTAATGCCTGAAAGAAATTACACAAAATCATTTTTCATACCAAATAAGAGTGATAAAATATTGACATCCAGGAATATATTAGTCTTATACCTCTATCCTTTCCCAAGAAACCTAGGGCCTTATGGAACATTCTTGGCTTTCTATGAAAACACAAAACAAACAAAAAACCATGTTATGTGCTACTAAGCATATTAAATAATCCTATTACTAGACTTAATAGAGAGTATGTTCTTTGGGGGGCTAAAAATTCCTAAGGAAAGATGAGTTCTAAACGAGAGAGAAGAAAATAAAAGTCAGTCAGGTATAGCAATGTACACCTTTAAATCTAGCACTCAGGAGGCAAAAGCAGGAGGATAACAAATCTCAGGCCAGTACCAATCTGGGCAATAAAGTAAGAACATGTCTCAAAGGGGAAAAATAGCAGAGAAACTTTCACTATGGTTTTAAATATTGTAATAAGGTATGTGTGTGTGTGTGTATGTGACTGAGAGTTAATTTGTTTGTCACAATAAACAAAATCAGCATTATTAGGATTTTTAGCACTAGTCTAGTTCTGGGACGATTAAAGTGATCAATTAAAGTTTAAGGAGGAGGACTGGCTTGATTAAGTAATCTTTAGGGAATTTTTGTTCCACAAGAACACAGATACCCACTGCAGGCTCAAATAGTCCTACACAAAATGCTAACAGATTTTAAAAGTGTATGGTATGGGACACTTAGATCTGATTAGCAAGAGAGAAATTTTACAAATTCTATTTTCTAGCAACCATGGTGTAAACAAAATCCACAATATAACTTTTCCGGATCTCCTCAATTTGTTTCTTTCTATTGGTATGAAATTCCATTCAATCACTCTGCCCAGTCTATACTCATTATCACTGTACCCCTTCCCACATGAACCCCTGGAGAACTTAAAAGGGTTTTACTGTTCAGTTATTTTGCTTTTCAAAGTAAGATGGCAGTATGCAGCTTACTCTTAATAAGTGATGAATTCTTTCTGCTGGCAGGGATAAAGGGTTTCTTCTCTTCCTCTTTTCAATGGCCGACTGGGCATCAGCTATTGCCCACTTATCAATTGGATGAGGGAAACTTTTTTGAACACGTTCCTTAGAAAATAAGAAAATAATAACTAAGCAACAAATGAAATAGTTCATCAGTTAAAATTTACTTTTAAATAAAAAATCTACAAGGTTGAGCTTTCCACATAATTTCCACTGTAAAGAGAAACTTTAAAAATCCTGTGGTTGTCTATGTATTAGCTTCTTAATTAGGTGAATAAAAGACTGAACAGACTCTGTCACCAGGGAAATCCTGCCCTCAACTTCACCTTCACTAACGATGCCTGCAAAACTGGTAAGTCACTTTACAGCACTCTCACAGTTTCAAGGGAGGAGGATGATAAGCATTCTTCAGCCTAATGAAATGAGCCAACTCGAGTAGACTAGAGTTTTAAAATGCAGGTTTATTGGGGCAGCTTTCTATGTGGGTTCACTGGTCTCAAGAAAAGGGGCCAGGGAAGTCACCATACAGGGAAAAACAGAAAAGCAGGAGTGGGAGAGTGTGCGCACTATATAGGGAAACTCAGCCCTATATTATAACATATATATATATAAGTTATATATATATAAACTCAGCCCTATATATAACTTAACTGGGCAGCAAAGTTCAGGATAGAGGCTATGGCTGGCATCCCCCTATAACAGGTAAGGACTAAGGGATGCTGGGAGAAACTGGATCCTGGATGCTTTGGTTAAAAAGGTACCTCGACAGCTTCTTCCAGGTCTGAAACCCAACAGAGACCTACACTTATTTAGCAAATACTAACTCCAATAAACTCTTATTTACTTGCATCCTTACTTTAATCCCAGTTATAAATTCAAGTAGCATTTCCAATTAAAACCTCAAAGATTTTTTCCATCACCCACCATGTGAGAGTATTTACCCTCAAAACTATCTACAGGTCATTAAACCTGCATGGGCAACAGTGTACCTATCTTTAAAGCACTGATCCATTTTTAGCAGACTACTTCAAATCTAACATCTAGAAGTAATTCAATTAAAGATATAATTGAAAGTTAAAGAATGAGCTGTTATAATAGCTTGATATCCTACTTTAAGGTAACTCCCTATTAGCTCTCTTCAGGTGTTTAAAACCTACTTACGTATACCTCAGTTAGAGCCAGTAGAGGGCGCTATTACGAACCTTCAATAGATGCTCAGTATTCACCAGCAGTATGTACAACTGGATGAGCTGATGAGCGTGGCCCCTGAATGCAAACCTGAATGCAGTTTTTATCAGTAAATAAATGTCTACAGATTCTCTCGAGCTGGGCATGAGGCAGGAGTACATGCTGTTCGCACATCTGAGGGGCAGATTTATGAGCGCTTATCTAATCCTGCCTTCATTCTATATTCAAGGCTGTTCATGTTTTAATTAAGTTACAAGTCAAAGGAATTCCCGTAGTTAAAAATTAAAGTAGCAAATTTGCTGCGGTACTGTGTGATAAAGGCAATACAAAGGTTCATATGGTGGCAGAGCAAATGGCTGGGACGGCTGGGGAAGGGACACAAAGGAGCACCCAGAGCTTCGTGTCCCATCCCAGTAAGTGTTGTCAAGGAGCTGCAGCTTTTCTCCAGCCCTCCAGTGAGTACTCTAAGGCCACAATCCATAGTAACACCATGAAACCCAGGACATGAGAGTTGAAGGGAGGATTATTTGGGGGAAGAGAAGCCAGCAAAAAGGGGACAGGAGAGATGAGGGAGAAGATGAGTAAGAACAAAGTATAAATGGCACGGCAGGAAAATGCCTTCCATTCTGGCTAGTGAGATGGTTCGGCAGGTAAAACACTCTTGCTGCACAATCGTGATGACATGAGGTCAGTCGCCTAGTCTCAGAAACCCACAGGGCAGGACAGAGTAGATGCCAAAAGCTGTCCTCTGACTTTTATACACACTGCAAGCACGCCTGCACTAACATACCCTCTTCCTCTCACTACCCTCCCACACCAATAAAAATAAAAGTTAATTTGTTTATGAACTTAAATAAATCAAGAAAAAAAAAATGCAGTAAAAAATAACAAATCTCCACACTGGTGAGGGCATTGGCAGCCATGGCTGATGGCCTGAGCTTGATCCCCAGAACCCACATGGTAGATGAATAACTCCCAAAAGCTGTTCCCTTTATGCACATATCACATGTGTACATTCACATACAAATAAAGTCAAACAATAAGTCTTCAATGGTTTACAGTGCACCCTCATACAGAAATTCAGTTGAAACAGAGTTTCCTGACTAAGCCTCTGCCTTACTTGATGAACCACACTAGTCTTGCTCATTTACTTCTGTTTGCACAGTCAACACATGGCCAGAGAGGCATTTCTGTAGCACCAGAAAATTGATTTTTTTTTCTTCAATCTTCACTTATGTCTGTTCTCTTCTAATGGTCAATTTTCAAACACATAAGCAAAAGATAGCCTATAGAACTGTTGTAAGATATAGAAATTTATAAAATACTACTTTGAAATTATAAAATTTCAGTGGTTAAGAGCCCAGAGTTTGACTCCTGGCACTGATGTCGGGTAGCTCACAACTGCCTAGAACTTCGGATGGAGGAAGACTGTACTGGTTAGTTTAGAGTCATCAGAGATGACAGAAGCTCAAATGAGAAAATGCCTTTATAAGATAGGGCTGTAGGCAAGCCTGTAAGGCATTTTCTTATAATTTGGTGATTGGTGGGGAAAGTCTAGATAGCTCACCGTGGCAGTGCCATCCCCGGGGCTGGCTCTAAAAGCAAGCAGGCTGAGGAAGCATGGGAAGCACACCAGGAAGAAGCCTCCAGGTTTCTGCCCTGTCTGAGCTCCTATCCTGGCTTCTTTCCAATGCTATCACATAGGGGAGGCTAAAGAAACCCCTTTCTCCCCAACTTGCTTTCTGGTCATGGTGTTTCATCACAGCAGTAGGAACCCTAACTAAGACAGGGATCCAACTCCTTTGGCCTCTGTACTTGTGTACATACCTACACACAGATGTGTATACATACATATAACTAAATATAATAAAAATATTTTAAAAAGAAATAATAAAGCTTATTACATAAGTGACTGGTATCTCTATTATTGCCACACTCTCACATCTTGTAAAGTATTATCTCAATCCCCAAAACCTACACACTAGGATTTATATAGCTTTCTGTTCCTAGTTTCTCCATTAATTAAAGATAAAATTAGACAAGTATAGTTCTGTAAATATATATGAGAAAATTTGATTTGTGTTTGCAATGTCAGCAGAATAGCAAATCTCTAGAATGTACCAATATCAGAATAATAAGCAAAGTGAGACTTGTAAGCCCTTTCTGTAAGTCCCAATTCTGCCAAACCATGAAAGAACATAGCTGGAATCAAAAAGAAAATCCAACTGAAATTGTTAATGTGACATAGAGTCAGGCAAGCCATGCTACTCAAGATCCCTGTGAAACACCAATAGGTATTTCAAAGGAATTATGAATAAAAATATGACTTTACAATTAAGTGGAAATGGGAAGAAACCAGCCAGGCTTGGTAGAAAACTCTTGAAATCCCAGCAATTGGGAAGTGGAAGCAGAAGGATCAAGAGTCATTCTTGATTATACAGCAAGTTGAGTTCAAGGCCAGACTGCGAGCTATTATGTCATCCTGTCTCATAAAAACAAACAAAACCTTACAAAGAATGTACTGTAAATGAGTTAAGAAATGAGGATTACCCAATACAAATTTTTTTCTACATCCAGAACCTGTTACTTGGTGTTGTCTATCTCTGTCTCTCTCTGACCCTAAGGATGGAACCCAAGGTTTCATTAATCCTAGTCAATGAGCTATGCCTCTGACCCTCAATGTTCTTAGATACTTATTTGCCTCACTTGAACTCCAATCTTTGTCCCTTTGACTCTCTGAAATTTAAAGGAAATGTTTTTGGAATGAAACATTCGTATATATTCAACTCTTAAAAATATTGAGTTCAAGGCCATTCTAGTTTGCATAGTGAATTGTAGGACAGCCAGGACTAATAGGGAGTGTTTGTCTCAGACCATTCTAGTAGCAACATGAAGTTGTTCATTTAAACCAAAAAGTAAAATCTGAAAGTTTCACAGCTAAGATGCATAAATAAGCTACCATATACCCAGCACAAAGTTTAAGAGACCTACGAATGAACTGAAGGACACTTTTCTCCTTCATTGACTGTCATTACAACAAACAAAACAGGCTAGAAACACGTACAGTCATTAGAGGACAGAAGTTGTCATTTGCCATACCTCCACATCTGAAGCACTCCGGGGCTGAGCTTGGCATAGCATATTTAATAACTGCAAAATTAATTCTTCAACATACTGAAGAGCATCATCATTAGACTCAAGAGTAGGATGAACTTGCCCCTGAACCTATAAACAAAAAGTGAGTTATTATGTGCATTTGTACTAAAGAATGTGGACAAGCCTACAAATAGATTAAATGTTATCCAAAAATTGGGGCTTCTCAACTTTTGTTGCCAGCCTTATGTACCATGCATGTTATTAATACTTTTGGGAGATCCATTTACCTAACTGTAATTTCAGTATTTTTGCATACACTATAGTTTGCAATGAAATGCAGAAACGGGAAGTAGGAAGGAGAGGCCAAGGTGGTGATAAAACATTGTTTTATGTGGAATTCCTGTCCAGAGCCAGTTAGAACATTCATTCAACATTCTATTTGGATGGAATTGACTTCTGGCCAATCTCTGTCCTTTGTTTAATTCTACCTGTCTCACCCAACGATAAGACCCAGGAGGATATGTTTCCTGAGGCTCACTAGTCAACTCCAGCATCCAGTAGTACCAAAGCACACATAATACAACTTAGGATTTGTGAACACATTTCACTCTATATCAAAATGTGGCCAAGAAGCTGGCTCAGATGATAAAAGCATATGCTTGGTGACTAAGAGCTGGATCCACATACAAATTAGACATTTGTAACCACAGCACTCCTGCAACTAGATGGGAGCCTGAGACAGCAGCGCTGCTAAGAACCCAGCAGGCCAGCGAGCCTGGAGGACTCGGACCACCAGGAGGAAGAGACCCCATTTGCCTGCCTCAAGGTGGAAAGTAAGACCTTACATCCACAAAAGTGTCCTCTCACCTCTATTTGTACACACAGAGATACAGAGAGAGAAAGGCAAGACCCTCAAATGGGCACTTTTGACAATTTGTGATTTAGTCTGCTATACTGTGAGAAGATGGAAGATCATTTAATAATCTTTATTTTTCCATGACTTTTTTCAGACTCACTTAAGGCTCTTGACCGGTACAAATCTAGCATTTTAATAACCAGCACAACAATTTTGCATTCCTTTATCACTCACTGTGGGTCAGAACTATTCCTCACCAAATAAATGGCAAGAAAAGCCATTCCCATGAAACGCCATGAAAGTGATGTTCTACGACACAGCCCACTTGACAGAAGCATCAGTATGGAGAGGATGACAGCCTCAAGGTGGGTGAAGCTGTTAGCAAAAGTGTGCTAATGATGATTTTTCTTAAGAAGTATGTACATCCACTTTACATAAATTTTAGAGATAAATATTTGAAGAAAAATAACATTTTAATAACTCAAAACTGCATAAGGGAATATTTTAAACTGGAGTGATTTTACCGGTGAATAAACAGCCCTGGAAGCTGAAACAGTTTACCTATACACTTTTAATTATATCCTACATATTAGCTGTCAACCTAATTATAATTTGTTTACAAAGTTTTCTACTTTATTAGATGACTACACAGCTTAAAATAATGGAGAGTTGGGGATTTGGAGTTTCAAATACAGTGCTTTCCATTCACTAACACGATGTGGGTTCTATAATAAATTCACTCCTCTCTACATTCAGCATGATACTATTACCCTTTCTAAAACTCTGGGAACATGTTGTACTTTTGTACATTTAGCTGCACGCCTTGATGACTCAAGCTGTCTTTCAGAGACCCTATATCCTTATGGCTAATTTACTAGCAGTGAATCCTTACGCAACTTAGAGCAATGCTTTTAAGTGGCTATCAGCCAGATTCCTTTCTAAATGTTATTAGTAAGGGGCCTTGGTCTCATAGTGTTTGTCATGTAAACATGAGACCAAGTTTGAATGCCTAGAGCCAACTTAAAAACCAAAAGCTGCAATAATAATAAACAACAAACAAACAAACTGCCAAGCATGGTACAGTCATACCTGTACCAGAGAGGTAAAGCTAGTCGAAACACTATCCAGCCATTAGTGAGCTCCAGGTTCAGGGAGAGACCCAGTTATCAAAGCACAGGCCTTTAATTCTGGCTGCGGGAGTTTAAGGCCAGCCTGGCATACACAGAAAATACTAGACCATCCAGGGGCTACTCTGTGAAACCCTGTCTTTAAAACAAATAAAAATAAAGAAGGCAGAGAAGCAATTGAGGAAACGATCCTCCACATGCATGTACAGACATGTACACACCAAACTACATGCATGCCCCTCACCACCAGCATACAGACATACTAGTGATGCAGTCTACTTTAGGGTCTCTGCTGGTTACTTCTCTGCACCTTCTTTCACCTCTTACATGTGTCTGCTGCTCCCTGCCATTCTCCCAAGTAATATCAGAGCTACACTCTGAACAATCACCCAGATAACTTCAAGACTATCCCTCTCTCTCCTGGTTTTAAAACCCATATTTCAAATTATCTGTGAAATACTTCCATTGCTCACACATGTCAAATTAAACATTAAAACTTTATAAAGTCAAACAACAAAAACTAGAAGATATATGGTATTTTCAAAGAAGTGTGTGTGTGTGTGTGTGTGTGTGTGTGTGTGTGTGTGTGTAAAACAGTATAAATAACTCTAGGTCCACTGAGATGTAATTCTGAAAAAAAAAATGCCAATATTATGGATAACATATTTATTCAAGATCTCAGAATCACACATAATATAGTCCTATAGCTGGTCTCAGATTCACAATGTGGCCAAGGATCACCTTAGACCTCTGATCTTCCTGCCTTCAGATCCTGTTAACTACAGGTGTGTATGTGTGGTGCTAGGCAGGCACTCACAACTAGCTACACCTCAGTCAACATACACTCTGTTAAGGGCTAGCTATACAGGAGTCAAACACAAGAACTGTTTACATTATTGGTTCTATTTTCTGCTGTGTACCAACCCCTTTTCCAGGTACTACACTTTGATAATGGAGCTCTAATAATGAGTAGTAATTTTGTGTTCTCCTATCAGTCTAGGTGGATAATGAAGTTCCAATCAGGAAAGGCCTTGTTCATACATTTATAGATCTATTTTCTTCTGTTTTGACTCCAACCTCTGGCATTCCGAAAGTACTTGAATCCTCTGTTTTGTAGAGGTGAAGGCATAAATACTTTTGTGGCAATAGGCTAGGGACTTGGTTGATTCCAGGAGCATGCCTTCAAACAGAAACTATTCTATGTAGGATATCAGTTTAAACTAAGATAGACATTTTTACTGTGCAAAATGAAATTCATTATATAGAGCCACATAATGACTAAAAACAATAGCTGAGTAGCTGTTTCCAATACTAGTACATTCAAATGCTGGTTAATTCTGGTATTTTATGTAAACATTTTTGAAATTCACGTTTGATAATTTTGTTTACTGGTAGTTACTAAAAGCTGAATAAAACCTATTAGGTAAGTAAGTCAGACAGAAAATTACTTTTCTTGCAGAGAATGAAGCACGGTGCCAAGTGTATTGCTAGATTTTTGGATACCAATCGTTATTATCTATTCTGTCAAATTAGGTTCACAAAATTCATGCATGCAAGAGATCAACAAATTTTGGTCTTTCCTTAAAAGACACATTTCAAGTCCTCTGACTGAAAACATGGGTAAAAGTCAAGCAAAGTCCCAATTGCTAGATTTACACCAGCTGATCTTTACTCTTCCAAGAAAGATCTGGCTAAGATATTTTTTTAAGGCAAACAGAAAAGTAGCATTACATTTTACCACTTAATGCAGAAAAAAAAAATGCTGCTTTATCACAGTCAAACCTGGGACTCAAAAGTCCAAACTGTGCAGGACCATACAGGATAGGTTATACTGACAAATCTCATTACAGCTTCCTGAAGCCACCCGAGGTGTGTGTGTGCTTGTATGTGTGTGTGATGACCGATGGTAAAACAAATTTTAAAATGTTTTAAACTAGATGTGGATTTTCCTTTAAATGTAGTTTTCAGAAATATTACATCTTATATTTACTGACACATCATAAATTTGACAAATTTCTTTAAGTGCAATTTATATACATTTCTTAAAAGAAATGGTTTACTGGTTAAGAGTGCATACTGCTCGTCAAGAAGATCCAGGTTCAGTTTCCAACACCAATTTTGGGCAGCTCACAACCATCTATAACTACAGCTCCAAGAGATCCAAAGCCTTTGGCCTCCATGGGCACATACTGACACACAGGCATATACGTAATTAAAATAAAAGTAAATCTTCATAAGAAATATTTTCTAAATGTATATCAGTGTTTTGCCTATGTGCCCCACATCTGTGCCTGGTGCCTGTGGTGCCAAAGTGGGCACTAGATCCCCTGGAACTGAGTTACAAACCACGAGCTGCCATGTGTGTTTTGGAAACCCAACCCAGGTCCTCTGGAAGAGCAGCAAATGCTCTTACTGTTGAGCCAGTTCTTACCTTGTTAACAGAGTCCCCACCCACCTTTTTGAAAGAAAATGCCTCGCTGAAGAATCAATGAGAGACACGAACAGGAATTTTACTCCATGTGACAGCAATTCCTTTTGTAAGACAATCACCATATTCAATGAAAGATGCCACCTCATGAATTTTAAACTACCCATAAGGACTAGCTGGCTTCAATCATGATGGTTCACTGTATCTGCAGTAAATCCTACCAGATTCTTTATGAATTTCTATCTGTCTGATACATGAGCCATCCAAGGATACTCGGGAACTCTTGGGTAAGCTGCCAGAAAATAGTGTTGAGTACTGATGAATCTTTAATAGCCCTCTCCAGCTAATGTCTCTCTGAAAAGGCTTTAGAAAGCCTAGGTGTTCTTTTGTGTGTGTGGGTGTGTCTGTGGGTGGGTGTGGGTGTGTATGCATGTGTACATTCTTTGCGGTGCAATTGCATATATATGCAGAAACCAGAGCAGGATGCTGGTGTCTCACTTTATTGCCTTCAGACAGTGTCTCTTCTTGAACTGTGAACTCGCCATTTTGGATAGGCTGGCAGTGAGCTCTAGAGCTCTAGCCTGTCTCTCTGCAATGGTTACCAGTGCCCAGTCGTCCTGGCGTTTTGTTTTTGTTTTTAGGTGGGTTCTGGGGATCTGAGCCCAAGTCCTAATGGATGCAGAACAAGTACTGTCACCTCCTGAGCCATCTTCTCAGC